GGAGGATAGCCCTTGCCCATGCCCTGAATGTGAAGACTCTACCAGACCACACAAAAAATGGTATCAGGTTTGGCTCACCACAGCCAGACACGTGATCTTTGACTCAACTGAGGCGAGACAGGCCAGCTGTAGGTTGTGGTTTGATGATGATCAAAGTCCAGTGGTTAAGATTTATGGATTTGAAACCTGTGGAGAATCCTTCCCTGGCCAAGATTTCTGTATTTTGGTTTGTGTAACCCACGATTTAGAGATTGGGGAAAAATTGTTGAATGAAATATGGAGGTATGAGGAAGTGTGGGGTAAAGTACAGAAGAAATACGGAAGTAAGAATGAGGTGGATAAGTTGGCCATTATAGTGTCACATCCTCATGGCTGTTCTAAGCAGATCTCTGTAGGTCACTGGGTACACAGGCAAGATGTACCTAGATCCCCCCGGCTACACCAGGTACACGTACACAACTTGTACATGCCCAGGTAGCAGTGGGGCTCCCGTATACAAACTGGGGTGGAGTTCCCACACCCACACTGGTGTTAACTCTAGAGGCATCAACTACAGCTCTGCCCAAACGGACTACGATTTTAGTTTTACCGGAGAAGATTTGGACCAGAAGCGTTTGTTTGAAGGGAATTTAGACATGGAATGGCTTTTAGATGTAGCTGACGATTTGTTTCAGTCTAGGATAAAATGATAGCATTGGTGTCAGCATGTCGAATTTATTTGAGATTTCCTATATAAAGTACTATTTACCGCGCTTTTAAACGCACAAGTTGAACAAAAGCTTGTGAAAAAAAAAACTTTTAATAACAAGCTTTCATATGACTATGGAGAAAAGTAATTATTTTCTTTAAACATATAATAATGCACAACTATTTAGATAACTATTTTGACATGTAAGTATAAATTGCACTCCTAATATTAGTTAATAGATTCGCCCTAATTTGTTTTGTTCTTTTCTTAATAACTAATTTAAATATGGTCAATATGTTGCGTAATATACTAGCTTTTATAACAAGTTTTTACTTAAATTTAGTCCTCTATGTTTCTGCTGAGTTTCGTCATGGGTCGAAACTGGCGAGCACATTTTTGACCACCTCTACAAGACCGATTTCTATGAAACTTGAACTGTTGATCGAGACTCGGTGACAATGCAATGTGACTTTTAATTTGACTTAATTGTTTTAAAAATATACTTCTAATATAACGTTTATATGTACACTTAAAAAGTAGAAAATAAAAAGATTTTCTTTAAATATATATATATGAAATATTGTATATATATATATATATATATATATATATATATATATATATATATATATATATATATATTAGTGTGTGTGATGATAGAGGACGGCGTGGTCATTTTGTACAGCTTGAGACTGCTACCCTAAACGCCTCTAGTTCGGATTCAGACTTGAGTCAGTAGGACTTCACTGAGTCGACCAGCTCTGATGGGTACCTGATTTACGATACGGAAAGTTAAGCTGGCTGGGCGTAGTTACAGAAACGTGTGAACTCTTCTTCATCTGTCCTATTGATCGACACGTTCGGAGTAACTGTGTGGATACAAGCATATATATATATATATATATATATATATATATATATATATATATATATATAATATTTCACTATCATTAAGGTTTATTTATATACAATATACCGACCCATGAAGTGAACTTTACTTCACTTGCCCCGTAGACCACCAGGTTTGAAAGGGAACTTTACTTTTACTATACCGCCAAATTAATTAGAAACAATTATTACCAAATTATATACTTTATTCAAATTAAATGCTAACACTGATATGATTCCGTTAAACAAACGGCTATTCCGTGGGATTTTTGTTGATTTTTCAACTAATTTTCTTTTCTATTATTTTTGCCCGAGAATATTGAATAAAATTTAATGTCATAGCATACGTCTTGAAAGTAGATCTACTTATCCATAAGTAAGCTATCTAAATCACATGTGAATGAAATAGTTCATTTCTTTATGTTTTAAAATTGGAAGGTGTGGGAAACAAAGCTCATTGAAGATGACGTCATTATTATTATGTATCCTTTTCTACCTTCGATTTTTATTACTTATATTTTTCTATCCAACAATCAATGATGTCATTAGTGTTGTGTATTTTCCGTAGTTTTTATTAACATCGTTTAACAAAGGTATCTTTTAATGTTTCATGTAACGTCATTCTATTTGCCAGTGTTAGTTTTTGTGTTATTTATATGTTCTCTAGCGCGTTCTTGTCACAACAATAAACACTTTTCCGGCTGCATAATTAATGATGTGTTTCTACATTCGAATATGTCTTTCTTTTATTTTCCGTCTTTAAATAGAATTTAGTTTATACAATTTAATACGTCCAACATATTTTTTTCAATAAAAGTCTTTGGAGCTTCCTTCCAGTATGGGCAAACCAAACCCTAGTTTTTAAATTAAACTTTTCACATGTATATAAACACAAGCAGCACAATCCAAAATGTATCTCCATTCATTAGAGTGTACAGTCACAAAGTACTTGTCAGCATCAACGATTTTAAATAATCAACCCTCCACACTTCTACACAACGCTGTTTACCACAACTCAGTCGGAGAACGAGGTAAAAAATCTACGGCACAAGGTTTTCGTGGCTACAGGAACAGACCAGGTCCAGAAGAAGTAGCGACAGGCAAACAGCGACAGGTAAACAGCGACAGGTAATCATAGACAGGTAAACAGCGACAGGTAAACAGCGACAGGTAAACAGCGACAGGCAAACAGCGACAGGTATACAGCGACAGGCAAACAGCGACAGGCAAACAGCGACAGGCAAACAGCGACAGGTATACAGCGACAGGCAAACAGCGACAGGCAAACAGCGACAGGCAAACAGCGAAAGGCAAACAGCGACAGGCAAACAGCGACAGGCAAACAGCGACAGGTAACCATGGACAGGCAAACTTAAAACTAAATATAATATGGGGCCCAAAAAATTTTTTTGCTGGGTGGACTTTTTCTAGTTGCGCCACTGAATCTACACTGATATTTTAGTTTACTAACCATAAGCTTGTATTTTATTTTATACAGTTAATTTATACAAACACAAAATGAAAATATACTGTTGTCCCTTTGCCAGACATAAACTCAATAGCTCTATAATGCAAACTTCACCTGTAATCGCTTCATGTCAGACACTGTTTGTTGTTGGTGAGCTTTCCCGAAGATAATAAACCGTGTATCGTTGCATTGAAATAAATGCGGGATTTAATTTTTTCTTATAAAACACGACCAGTTATACATTAGATTAGACTAAAGCATATTTTGTCTGACCTGCAACGGTTACGAGAACCAATCACACACAATCATAATACAAAGGAGACATGTCTATTGTAATCCCGTGCTTTCCATTGGATCTAGACTAGCAGCATTAACTTGTTGACAAAAGTACAAAGAAAGATTAGAGAATTTTTCAAATTTTACAATGAAGCAACAAAATAACAGACTACAAGTCTTCTTAAATAAATCATAGTTGATTATATTATTACATAACATTTGATAGATTGTGGTGAATGAAATTAGGGACAGCTTACGTTAAGTTAGTTATTTCTAGCATTCGAGGTTTTTTTATTCTTTTCTTTTTTTTTTGGTGACAGTTGGAGCTTTTTAAAAAATCGTAATTATAAAACTCCAGAAAATGTACATTATCACAGGCTTTGTCTGTCATCAGTTATAAGCATTACAAATTATATTTTAGGCTCATCGATCTAGCTAGTGGACCTACAACAAAGCCAGATAAGTTTTAAAAAAAATAGTAGTCGGTAATTTGTTTGTTAACTGGTAATTTCTATTGACGCCATAAGCAAGATAGCGAAATGGGGTAAGGGGGGGGGGGGGGCAGAGTTTATTTCAGGCATCTCTTCGAAAGAAATAGAATTTATATGGAAAATATAGGCTTATACTTTTACTAGTGTCGTTCCTCTTCCCCCCCCCCCCCGCCGGAAAGTTTAGTCCGCTCCTCCTTCTCCCCCCCCCCCCGAAAAATGTCCATATAAATATATAGGCCCTATTTAGGCATGTGTATATATATATATATATATATATATATATATATATATATATATATATATATATATATATATATATATATATATATAGGCCTATATATCTATATAATGGCATCGCACCCAGTAGCGTAGCCAGGATTGTCTCATAGGGGGGGGGGGGAGTTCAAATTTTTACCAGCATTATATATGTATCAGAGGCGTAGCGACCCTTGCCGGCGCCCTGGGACGAACTTTCGATTTGCACCCCCCCTCAAACTTTCGATATATATATATATATATATATATATGTATATATGTATATGTATATGTATATGTATATGTATATATATATATATATATGTATGTATATATATATATATATATATGTATATGTATATGTATATGTATATGTATATGTATATATATATATATATATATATATATATATATATATATATATATATATATATATATATATATATATTTATATATATATGTATATACTATATATATATATATATATATATATATATATATATATATATATATATATATATATTTTCACCGAGGGGTCAATAGGGGGGTTAAACCCCCCCCCTAACCCCCCCCCCTGCCTACGCCACTGATCGGCCCCCTACATCGAAAATGTGTAGGCCTTATACACCCCAAGACCAACCCATATAGAGCATGAATTATTTTAAGATAATTTAAATTATAACTTATTTTATTATTTTATGCGAATGAATAAAATGAAAAGCCTAATTGGCTTTCTATATTTTGAAAATTAATTAAATTAACAATACCGGTTATTATTCTAACTATTTTAAAATTATGTTAGTCAAAATTAGTTTTTGTTTGTCTTAACTAGTTAAAATTAGCTTATGTCTAAGTAGGCCTTTTTTTTAAAGATAAATGAACTTGATGGCGAGTCTGCAATAATCTTACATTCTACATGAGGTGGTGATTTTTATCAGGCAAAGTAGTGGTGTTTAATATAGTCATAGTGTACTGTAAGTAATAAGTATACACACACAGAAGCACCGTTGAATGCATTTTAATTGAGGTATTTATTTAATATTTAGAACTAGATCTATGCCTTTATAAAAATATATTAGATCTATATATTATTGTAATGATTAAGATCTAGATTTTGATCAAGTAGTGACAAGAAGCCAAACAAATAGCCGACCTACCCATCTGACTAGAATTAGAGCCGAGCTCATAGAATCTTTTATCTAAATCTAGAACTAGAGTTCTAGATCTAGATCCTGACTGACAGAAAAAATCTAGAATAGTAATGCCATACAATAGAATAGATTTCTATAGTATAGATTAGGTTGTAGCATTCAAAATTAATTTTTGAGTATTTAATCTTAAAATCATATGAGTTAGTTAGAGGAAGGATTAAGAATTCCATTGGTACCAAATTTATATTTCTAGCTTCAGCAGGAGAGGAGAAATAATTTTTTTTCTGTTCAAAATGTATGGTCTTATATAATCTCTGTAAAAAATGAAACTAGTGGGAAACAAAAATGAAAATTTGGATGATATTTCGAGTCGTCCCTTTGAATCCCGGACAGATCGTCCCCCCGGCGTGGCCTCAGCCAACCGGCGGGCTCGTTGCATTGAGTTAAATATAAACTCAAAACAATAATATAAACAATCTCCTTTTAGGTCGGTCAGGCCACATACCAGGCACGCACAGTGTTGTGTGTCGTGCCTTAACCAAAATAAACTATCTCCCTTCATTATCATTAGATATATTTCATTAGTTAATTAATTAATTAATTAGCTAATTTATAAAATTATGTATGATGCTATAGCATTAGGTAAGTTACAGTAAGTATCATTTTTTAAACTATGTATTTGTACTATAAAGAAACAGCTTCGTTGTTTGAATACCACCCCTTCCCCTTCTTGAACTCAAAGTTAAACTTTTAACCCCGTTCGTAGAGACATGCGGTATGTTGTAAGGCGGCGGGTGGGTAGGGTATATACTCATTGAAGAAAAAATCCACCGTGGTGCGTGTTATTGGCCTTGGGCTTTCGGTGACGTTGTTGGCGTTTGCTGTGAGGGGGAGAGGGGTGTGTTATATCCGTTTAAAAAAAAATCGCAACATGGTATTGGCCTATGATGACGTCGGCGCAAGCGGGGAGGGGGGGGGGGGAGACACTTTTTTTTTTTAAAACCAAGAACTAGGCGTTTAAAGGCTGTAATGAAAATCAAGGACTGGTATAGCCATGATGTCGAATTTAACGAGTGATGCTTGCTGGGTCTATCATACGATTGCTTGGCGATGGGAATCTCGCCAAGCTCAGTTTATATTTACAGTGAACTATTGGGATGCTGTCATGCACAAAGTAACAGCTACAGAATGTAGCACTTAAAACATCGAGTGCATCCCGCTCATTATAAATTTGAAATACAAGTTATGGATTGCCCAAAAACTTGAAGGACTATCAGAATATATGCATTGTATTATAACATTAATCATTACGATATAACTAAAATGTGTATCCAAATATTTTTAGGCTAACAGGATCTGCATTTAAATAAACAAGACCTATTAGGCTACTTTTGCATGGTAGCACAACTACATTTTTAGATTTCATAATGAGTAGCCTAGTCGTGCATTAAAGGGCTGTACTCAATAACAATGAAAAAAATGAAATGCCGGCTTCAAACTTCAAGCTATGATTTCCCCGTATTCTTCTACTAGAAATATAGCTCCGTTGTTCTAATGACCTCACCCTCCTCCTCTCACCTAGTTCAATTTAAAGTTACACTTTCAACCCCGTTAGGATTCGTGAGCTACTGATGACCTAACTATTGAAAAAAAAAACTATTCTGGCGTTAAATTGCCCTCCCCTACTCGCAGCACTTTGGGGCCATACACATCAGGAAGGTCTAGGTCGGTGTTGTATCTCGTGCAAATTTACTCACAACACGACTACACACTATGGTTGTATCCAGGACTAAAGCTGCGACACTCGCATAGAGTTGGATTTATTCGTTAGATCATTGTGCTTCAAATTCTGTTTCAATATTGGATTAGATGGATATAATGTTGGAATTCAGTTAGTTTGTTATATTATATGTATCTAAATGTCGTGTACCATCAGAAACTAAATTGGTTGACAAGACACATGTGTAGGCTAAAGAATGACCTCTAGATCGAGCCAAAAATGGCTGGTTAAGGTTGACAAACTGTGGTTTTCAAATTTCATGGTGATGCTTTTCTAAAGGATTTTATTTTGTGCTTTCTTTGGGATTATTTTGTGTGATGTGATTATTCAGAAGTAATTTGTAAGTAGAAGCTTTTCACATCCAACCATTTTAACAGTTTGCGATTGATCTGCGGCTGGGCTGATTAATTTACATTTAGCAAAACTACACACTACACGGCGCCCTCAGGCCGTTGTTTCAGCATGCCCTACTAGTCAATTATAGACAAGTTTAGAATCAATACATAGAGCCAACACACCGATTTTTATTTAATAATCTTCAAGAGCCATTCCTCTAGGGTCGTTATTTTCACGAAATTGTCGTTTTCCATTTTGTTGTCAAGAAACTGGTATTTAGTTCACGAGAACGTATGAAAACCACTCATGCGTGACCGAAATCGTCGATTGGGTGCCTTCACGTGGTTTGACACGTGTTGACCTGGGCCATTGTTTACATCCAAAAATCACCCAAAACGGCCTTTTTTCGAAAAATTTGTTTGAAAAAATGGCTAAGTCCAGTTTGAAAAAGTGTCATTTTCGGGCCCATTTTAAAAAACGTAAAAAAATCCGAACTACACGTAGAAAAAAATGGCTTTTTCGGCCCTTTTTAGCTCCAAAAACGCGTCGCGTGACGTCACCGTGACGTCAGCCGCCAACCAAAACGCGGAGAAAGCGCGCGTTTGATTGGTTGGCGGCTGACACTATGAAATCCTCTAAGGACGATTCGAATGGTATACCGAAAATTTTATAAAATATGTTTGCAAAAAAATTTTGAATTCTAATGATAAATTATGAATCAGGGGTGTTTCCTTTATGTAAATTTGCATTAATAATTGTGCAGGCTTGTTTCTGTTTGATGTTATGCTTTATTTTTAAAAATGTACATTTTTACTATGACTAATTATATAGGAAAAAACAACATGGCTGATAAAGGTCCAAATCTTAAAAAATTCATAAAAAATGTATTTGTAAAATTGAATCACAATTTCTTTATAAAATAAGAACCACACATGGTTTGTTTAACTGATTTTGCATAGTTTTGTGTGCAGGCAAGTGTTTATATATTAAAATAAAGTTGATTTAGAGCATATATTGTTTTCAGATCAATTTTTGTATAGGCAAAAATGAAAGAAAATGAAAAGTAATTGCATTTGGCTATAGCTGAACCTCAGTAGATTTTGAAAATGTAGTTGCTTTGTGTATTGGAAATTAATATGATATTAATTTAAAATTAATAAGAGACAGTGGTAAAAACAAAATTTGAAAAATCAGTCAAGTCAAGAGCTCTGGGCAGGTTTTTGTATGAAAATTATCTCCCTTTGTTCTAATGCTACATACTAGTATAGATAGGTCAAACGCCTACTTACTTTAAACTAAAACGCCTAGTAAAGTTCTGGAGAATTGGAGATCTTGCTCTAAATACTCGTTATCGGTAGGCTAATCTATCGTTTTAGGTACGTAAAATCGCCCGCGACTAGTAATGTGAAAAACAGGTGACTCCTTACATTTTAATAATTATTTCACATTTTGAGGAGGATTTATGTTTTGAAAAATACAAAAATGTTTCCTTGTTTCATTTATGTACCTGTTTTTAAACAATTGAATTAAAACTTTTCAGTAATAAATGAACACCAGCGATGTTTCCAACAGATGCAACCATGCTCATTTACTATAGCAGCCATCTTGTTAAAGTTTTATTTTTATAGACATATAGCGCAAGATTCAGGCGGAAGTCACTCTATTTTACAAATGGCTGCTGTTTATATAGCAAATCTTGCTTGCAGACACTGCTGTTTAAAGTTAATTTCTGGCCTATATTGATATATTTAGCCATTGATTTAGGTTTATTATTCATTTATCTATACAGCCTTGACAATGAGGTAACGTTTTCGTACATTAATAGCCGCGGGCGATTTTACGTACCCAAAACGATAGATTACCCCGTTATCTTTCCTGACAAATGGCAATATCACTGCAAACTTGAGTTGTTAGCTGTTAGGACCTGTTAGGTCAGTGGTTCCCAACCTTTTTCGAGTGGCGACCCCCTTTTATAAAAAGTAAGTGACCCGCGACCCCCATAGAATTAAAAAGCCGAAATTAGTATGGAAATTAACAAGCACTAAATTAAGATTTTCAAGTAGACTTTCAATGTGAACTACCCTTGATAACTGTTTTAATACCATGTGTAAAATTGCGTGTTATTTACTAAACTTTCGCGGTTAAGTTTTTGTTAACGCCTACCTATTTCATTATCAACATTCAATTTATTCCTTAATTTTGTTTTTAATCGGAGAATAGTGTTGAAAATCTATTCTCGAAAAGTCAATCAATATTACGTTTGGGTATGAATGGTGAATACTACACCAAAATTGTGTGTGCAGTTTTTCATCTTGCGCTGAATCATTCTGCAAATCAAAGAATTCATCTTGTAATTCATCTGGAATGCTGGCAACATCAAGGGAAGAAGAGAATGGGTAATGCGTCAATGCAGATTCTTCTTTTTTCAGCGCAGAAAAATAGCGCTGCAGTTCGTTTTAAAGAGATTCAAAATGCCCAGAAATCGCTTCTTTCAAAATGTTAATTATCTCACAAACAGATTCATCTACTACATTGCAGAGTTCTCAAACATGGCAATATTTCCAAGATTTATTTTTGCAGCTTTGATAAAAATGCCCGGATTTATCATGGAAAGTGATAATATGCGTTCATTTTCCCTGAAGCTTCAGGTCAAGCTTATGTTGATGTTCGAATACATCTGCTAGGTATGTCGTATTAAGTGTACCAAAAGGGTCTTGTTCAGTGTTTCTTCCAGACTTCTTTTACTAGCAATGGAGTCTTGATGGCGAGGGCAGTGGTTAGGGAGCTAAATCTTTTCTGTTTTCTGGAAGCCCGATTTTGACCAAAACATAGATGGCACACCATCCGTTCAAACCCCCACAGCCGTTTTAACCCATTTTAATCATCCAGTTTCGAAAAACGTATTTATTTTTTCCATGCTATCATTAAAAAATAAAAGCTCTTCTTTGCTATCATCCGCATGAATATAGACAAAGACCAACAACTGCGATCACGAACTCAAGTCTGTTGATTTATCAACTTGAAAAGCAAACAATGGTGAAAGATTGATTTCAATAAAAATTTGTTATTTAACATCTACGGACATGTCTGCTATAAGCCGCTGAATATTATTATTAGGGAGAGATATTTGTTGCATCTTTACTGCACTGGGATCCCCAAGAATTAACTTCACCATCTTCAACATGCAGCGTTTGATGAGATTTTCTCCTATTGTGTTTTTTTTTTTTTTTTGCTTGACATTTTCTATCGCGACTTCATATGATGCTTGCACTAATGCTGTGTTTCCTTCGTGAAAACTTCCAGTTCGATCAAGTCTCTGACGTTTGCAACTAGCTTCATGTCGACGAAAGAACTCCGTATCTTTCTTGGTGTGTTCGGAATGACTCGTCTCAAATGACGTTTTAGATTTGAAAAGTTCATTACCTCGTGACTGAGAACAACTTTGTACAGTATTGAGTAATCATTGCTTCTCTATTCCATTTCCAGTGATGTTAGTAAAGCCGAATTTCAGATATTCTTCTAAATATTTATTTTTTGTTTCTCATTACTAAGGTTTAGTATACCAGTTGGCGACCCCCCAGAAAGCCCTTCGCGACCCCCAGGGGGGTCGCGACCCCCAGGTTGGGAACCCGTGTGTTAGGTGAAGGCCTATTTACTATTTAGTATTACTATTACTAATACTATTAATAATTAATTAGTAGGCCTATGGTCTATGATATGAATTAATCTTGCATGCATGGTAGTACGTTATAGGGGCCTAATAGAAGGTAATATGAAATCACATTGATTGACCCCCAAATATGTTTTTCATCTTGCTTAGATAGGGGGACAATTAAAAGAGACGTCACTGACAATCTCAAATAGCATTATTCTTTGCTATTACGTATGCACTACGTTTAGGCTACTGATATCCAAACCAAAGTGAGCACAATGACTTTAGACCGTGTCTGTATTTTTCTCCCGCTGACAAGAAAACGTGTGGAGGGAATTTTATTATTAATAAAAAAAAGTAGTAGGCTTTTTAGTGCAAAAAATCTGCAATAAGAAAACAGCAAAAAGTAACAAAATGTAGGTCACAAAAATACAATTTTTGAGTATTTTGTAAAGCTAATTGTAAGCTTTGGGTGTTTCTGATGTGACGGAAAATAGGATTATAAAATACATGAGACATCCAGCTTTCCAATGATGCCAATAGATGATGGATATTGAACTTTTTGGGGGGGGGGGGGGGAATAATCTTTTAATTAATGGGGTCATAAAATTGCATTTTAAACATATTATTTTTATTTTCGTATTGAAGCTACGGAGAAAGAATCCAAAAGTGCAAGAAACCCAGTATAACAAAAAATCACCATTTTGATATTTTTTTTGCAACATATCCCCTTAATAGTCTGCTACTGCTTTTTTTTTTTTTTACAAATTTTGTCTTGTTTCAGCTGATCCCATCACCCAGTACTTCAGAAATCTGAAAAGAAATGGCTTGTCAAAATCCAGTGAGTTATTGAACACATCAACAACAGTTGAAATTAGGTTTTCTATATATTTTGTTTTGCTAAAAATGTATTTATGATAAATCATTATTACCTAGGCCAGAGTTGATAACTACATTTGTTGATTTGATAGCCTCAAGCAAGTGGAGGCAGTGGAGACCATGCCAAGAAAGTAGCCAGTCATTACAACCAGTTAGAGGAGGCAGGCCTTGTAGAGCGGACTCGTAGTCGCATCTTCTACCTTAGAAATTTCAACAATTGGATCAAAAGCGTGCTTATAGGTCTGTACAAAAGGTCTTTATGTTAAAAATTGTTTGATTATGTTGCATGTATATCTGCAGTTAAATGTTTAAATAGTTTGTGTAAGTGTAAAGCTAAGTTTGCTTCTCAAATAGTTTTTGTAAGTGTAAAGCGAAGTTTGCTTCTCTACAGGCGACACCTTGAACAAGCTAAGAGAACAAGACTATCAGAAGAAGCTCTCAGTCCTAGATCTGTGCTCAGGGAAGGGGGGAGACTTGTTGAAGTGGAAGAAAGGAAGGATCCATCATTTAGTTTGTGCAGGTTAGACCTGAAATCTTTTCTTAGACTATTTTCCACCTATCTTTTTTTTTTATTGTTTGATAGTTTATCATTGCTACTTGACTATTTACAATACCATAGCTTGTTTGTATTTTACTTGTGTGTTTTGTTCATATAAAGTAAAGTTCTGATCTGCAGATATAGCTGCAACATCAGTAGAACAAAGTGAAGCTCGACACAAGCAGAATGTACAGAGAGAGAGGAACCAGATTTTTACTGCTGAGTTTATTGTGGCTGACTGTACCAAGGTGTGTGGAATTCTTTTATTTTGAAGCAAGAAATAAGTAAATGTATTGCCAGAGAAAGCAGTACTATGCTCTGACAAGAAGTAACTGTAGATTAATATTGTTAGGCACTGAGAATTGTGTGTTTATAATGTTAGTATTGTTATTAGTTGTTTTATTGTATTTCATTACTGGTTCAAGCATAACAGTTCTGTTCTGTTGTTTTTATGCCAGATATTCCTTACTACCTCTAACATTGTGTCAATTTTTAAAGATATTATCAGCTTGTTCAAACTGAGAACATTTTGAATGAACTTTTGTTTCAGGAGCGACTGAAGATGAAATATTCCAACCCCAGCCAAAAGTTTGACCTGGTCAGCTGCCAGTTTTCATTCCACTATTGTTTTGAGAGCTATCCCCAGGCCATGATGATGTTACGTAATGCTTGTGAATGTCTCAAGCCTGGTGGCTACTTCATTGGTACTACACCCAACTCTAATGAAATTGTGTAGGTTTGGTATAGCCAGCAATGTCTAACCTGTTTATTTATTTTACATTTGTGCTTTTCTTCATTGGTCTGTCATTGTCTACAACTTGAACTTTTAAGTTGCCTATAGTTATGTTTATGTTTTGTATTTTTTACTTTGAATGTAAAAGAATGTAAAATGTTTTTTTTTATGCAGGAGGCGCCTCAGAAACACAGACACCACATCTTTTGGCAATGATGTCTACAGAATTTCTTTCCCGCATGAGGAAAAACAAAAGTTCCCTTTGTTTGGTGCAATGTACAACTTCCATCTAGAAGGTGTGGTCGACTGTCCAGAGTTTTTGGTCTACTTTCCCGTGCTGGAGAAGTGAGTCTAGTTTTGTTTCCTTAATTAAAGTGGTGATCACCTTGCAAACATGTCATCAGATCTAAGTCAAGCTTTAACTAAAAGGGAGAAAGATTATTGTGCTACAAATCCACAGTGGGTTTGAAGTTGTGACTATTATATCTAACCATCTAATAACTTCTTTGCCAGAATGGCAGCTCAGTTTGGTATGAAGCTGGTCAACAAACACACCTTTGCTGATTTCTTCAAGGAGAACTTACAGAGCAAAGACAACCTCTCACTTTTAAATGCCATGCAAGCACTGGAGGTGAGTTGTAGAATTTCATCATTTCTTATCTTCTCAAAATCTTTATAGCTAATTCATTTAATATTGTAGATTTGATTACGGTGTAATTCATGCATATGTTTAGTTTTCATTTTTGGTTTAAGGTGACATTAATAATAATTGAAGCAAAACCTCTTAAACCTGAACATTTACTTAAATAGTGTCTATGATTTTTCTTAAGAGTTTTAGCAGGATTATTATTTTCATGTTGCTTATTGTCTCATATTAAAGCCATATCCACCAATGGAGGGGACAGAACCCATGAGCGCCAAGGAGGAGGACTATAAAATTGCTAAAGAATTCCACACATCTGTTAATGATTCTGAGCAGGCAGATCAACATCGGCGTCCGCCAAGAATTGTAAGTTTTTTTTTTACGACATGCCCTACAATTAGTGGTAGTACTTGTATATTACTACATGTACAAATCACATTTTTGCTCTGGACAAGCTTATAACTTTTATGTATTTTTATAAAATGTTTGTCATTTGTTTCTATCTACAGGGGACATTATCTCAAGCAGAGTGGGAAGCTGCCAGTAAGTATTTTTTTACTCTGCATATAATCTTGTTGTTCAATCTCAGCTTAAAATATACCCCCCCCCCCCCTCCCATTATACTTCCCGACTATGGCATAGTCTCTTAAGTCAGTACTCCCCTAGATGCATGGAGTTCTTTATAACAAATAATTTTGCAGTTGACGCTCAAACATCAGATTTATACATAAATTATTTATATCCACGCTTGAAAAACTTCATCACAAAATTTTAATTTATTTCAGCCATCTACCTCGTATTTGTGTTCCAAAAAGTTGAAGACAAATCCCCATTCCAGTCAAGTCCATCAGAACAATCTTGACATGTTTGTGACTGATAATGTGACTGACATAGACTTGTTTGTTCTGGTCCAAGTCTGAGAGGATGGCACTGACAACACAGCTATAGACATTTGCTTGTGACATACGGGGAGGGTGCCCATAGACATCTCATCATGGAGGCCGGCGAGATTCCTGACATGCGGACTGCTGCTGTATTTGGCTAACATTTTCTGACATCTGCAACTGGTTACCATGGTAACTGAGGACATCTCAGCAGACTGATGTTGACATGACAGGCATCTCTATTAAAGTCAACATCCATTCTAGAATTGGTCTCATTTGTGTATACAGCCCACTGCCACAACATATAACAAAAAAAAAATACAAGATCCTAGAGCAGTGGACAATTGTACATTTAATGCAAGCATGAACTTTTGAACTATGCAAACACTTGTTACAACCATTAGCTAAACAAAAATCAAATAAAAGCATCATTGCTAACAGAAGCTTAACACTTGTACTATTCATTTGATCTAATGGTCAGTGATAGATTGGGGTGGGGCCAGGTCTTATTGCTGGGCACTCCCCTCAGATGTTAGCATATAGAAGCTGCTTGCACCAATCATAGCATTCAACTTATATAGATCTGGTTTGTACAGCAATGTGGTCTAGTGATATCAACACTATATCAAGTCTAGAGTTATAAGGCAATTGTCAAGGATGGAAACATGTACACATTAAGGGAAACATCAAGACCAGCCATGATTAGATACTAAAGAATACAAAGGCAGGCAAAAGATGCCAAGTTTGCCCATACAGACCATAGACACAAAAGAACTAAAATTTTGCCCAGCTTTGATCAGTGGCTCAAAAAATACAATCATATTGCTAACAGCTTAAGGCAAAGATACATGGCTTGTATGGTACCTATAGATACAGTACACCTTCTGGGATACAACATGACTGGTTAACTGCTGTTTGCCCTGGTGGTATATCAAGGGTGACTAGCGAGGCAGGTGGTATTGCTAAATACAACAATCCAATTTTGTTAAGTTTTCAATGCAAACTTGTAAAAGGAATGTGTTATATTAATTAGCATCATACCCAGAAGTCCGATAGTTCAAGTACTTAGCCATACTGGACTTGGAGATAAAGTACATTGTAAGTACTAGCCAACTCACAGAAATTTTTAAGGGAAGGGGAAACTGCACATTAAAGTGTGTAGGAGCATATCTAAAAGAATGTAGAATCATACATATAAACAGCAAGACTGCTATAGAGCAATAGTTATCAAAAACTGGGAGAGGTGATTCCTTTAGAGGGCTGAATTAGTGAAAAATGTTCTATAGATATTTCATGGTCAGAAATTTTATATTCACCAGGGGCATATTGCTTCAAGGAATTTTTCACATCCAATATATATTATAGCACATTTACTCTTCCAACTGTATACTATGCAGAAAAAAAAAACCATTGCATTAAGTTTAATTTTATGGGAAGTTGTTGAAAAAGTAAATTTCTAGACATGTTTAGTATACATGTTGCCAGTGTAAACATGCTAGAGGGGTGGGGATGTGCCACAATTTCTTGGTGTTTAATGAAGTTGGAGACCACTGGTATATAGCAGTGTATACAGTTCACACAGAGTATCCTACAACAGACAAATGAATGCACCTTAAAGACTGTTCAATGTAACAAGTATATCAAGTAGAAAAATTTTACTAAGAGAAAACTATTTTTATATGTATATAATAAATATAAGTATATATTTCATAAATATAATTTCTTATTAAGAAACAATATAACATGGCTGTAATGGACAATAAAATCTTGTACAAATGGGAGATAACTAAAGAATGGACATTTGAGAACTAAAAGTTACAAAAAAAGCTGTACAAAAATATTCAGTTACAAAGATTGGACCTTGAGGATCAATATTTAAAAACATTTAAGTATCAACTTAAAGCAAGTCACACAAAAGACGCTCTGATTAATTGCAATTTGTGCAAAGTAATTAAGCATTTTCCAGAATCAGACAGAAAAACTCCACAACACATTGAGTTTGTATTTACAGAGAGATGCTTCATGCACTCTACACCTGAGGCAGGGGTCTACACATCCTGTTCTAACCTCACTACCTACACATAACAGGGTGGAGACTAAAACACACTGTTAATCCTTACCATAACATTCATCATTACTACCAAATTGTAAATACACTAAAAAGTTCTACATATTTCATATTTTCACTTTCAAAATTGGTCACATTAAAATATAATCTAAACATCAAAAGACACTTTTTTTTGTTACCCAATATAAAAATGAGGACTTGCTCTATCAAAATCTAATACATTAAATTTGATTTTAAAAAATACAGCCACTATTGTTTATAAGCTAGCACTGAAAACCTATCCAGCTTGCTTGTCTAGCCATGAGATCAAACACATGATACACAAAGGTAAAATGAATTACACTAAAATCAAACAAGATTAGTACATTAAAAATGTGACAAAAATATAAAATGCTAATTTAAAACACAATTTACTTTTAAAAGTGACTGGTATCCCCAGTAAAAGTATTATGCCATTCGACTAGCGAGGAAAAGTTTTAACTGACTGTACCGCCCCATGCTGTCAACCAAGTTATTTCAAAGTGAATATATTTTTTGAAATCCTCTAGATATTTAAGCATTATAACTACAGGTATAAATCAAACTGGTAACGACATGATTTCAACTATTGTGAAATTACTTTAAAAATTAAGTCTTTGATCTAGCTAAGCAAAGGATCATGAATTAATAAGATCATTAAGTATTCTAAATGAGCAATACAATTTGAGCTGCTCACAAAATATGAAAAAAATGTTTAAAAAATATCTGTCATGTCAACAAGTTGCTAAATGGAAACAGCTGATGTAGAAACCAGAGCCACTAGATATCACATCATGTTACTTTTCTCTGGCCCAGAACTCAAACACTTGCATGCATGAACAAACCTTGAGTAAAACTATTCTAGCCCACTGACATAACTATAGCATTGAATACAGAGAATATGTCTTTGTCTCATGAAGAACTAGCTAATGAAAAATGTGAACTAGATGGACAAAATGTCAATTTAGTAGCTCTAAAACTTTTGATATTAAATGTTATAGGAATTTACTTCCAAGGAAAATAAGTCTACGCTTTACACAGCTATTAAAATATTGTTTAAGACAATAGGTTTAACAAATAGTCGAGTCCTAACTTCTAGTTTTTGTTACATATAGCCAGAATGCTGATGGGTTTTCCTGACTTGGCAATAAAATCAAATATTTTTTCTAACACCTAATCTAATACAAAAGGTGGGTTATAAACTTAAGTATACAATGGCACAACCACACCACTAGCAACTAAACTTGGCCTAAAAAAACAAAACAAAGGAAACATGTCCAGCCAAAGTGGGCTATTGTGATTTACTGGCCCAGGCCATGTCATCTGATCTGGGCTTACTTCCTGTTAAACTCTCTATCAAACTTTCTGCCTTGCTCCAGAATCCAATCTTCTCTAAGGGGTAATTGAGCCAGCCTGTTGTGATGCAGTAGTAGGTCTCGTGGGGGGAGACGTGATGAATGCGGTGGTGCTTGCGAGGGAGGATGATGTGCAAGTCTTGCAGCAGTGTGATGTACCAGGGCAGACCAAAGTATGTGTGCGACCATTTGTGGCACTGAAATTAAATGTTTCACAGAACTTTAGAAACAGCATAAAAGATAAACACCTTCATGGTCAAGAAAGTGTAACATTAGTCCAATCATTAACAACACTTTATAGTATCCCAACAGATAGTGATATTATGTGTCTGAACATAAAAGTAATATCAGTCCATTACAAATGTAGAATCAGTCTAACAACCATTAAATTAACAAATTCAAATTGATACTAAAACAAATGTTTACATTCAAAAGACATGTGATGTATAAACAAACCTGATTTGTGAGGCTTACAAAGACAGCTAACAAGAACATGTACATCTTCCAGTTATAGGACTCAGCTATCTCTCCAGGGGAAAGAGTATAAAACTGGTAGGCTGAGTATCCAATGAAGGGAATAATGACAGCAAAGTTATCACCATTTGTTTCAATGAAGTCATGCCGAGTGATGGATGTTGGATCAATATGATGTTCTCTAAACGGTCGAATAAAACCCTGAAGTATGAAAGGACAAGTTGTGATCAACAGCTGGTAAAAAAATGTGAGGTTTTAAAATTTTTAGTTCAAGTTGTAAATTTATGATGAGATAAGGGTATTACAGGTAATATGATTATAAGCAAAACCATCAGTTATAGGACACTGCTAAACAAAAAACAATCAATGAGCTTACACTTCCAACCACAGGCAAGTCCACAGATCCCCAGGTATCAGCACCCCAATGGACAACACCACTGCAAAAGTCAGCTGTCACAATACCCAGCACTGAAAATTGTTAATCAATTCAATATTATAAAAATCAAAACATTCTTTTTGCCTAGATATTCTTTAAAAATAACTAGATTCTAGATCTACATTTTACAGGTAAAAGAACACTTACAAGCACAAATAAGAATCATATGCCAATCTCCAGGTCGAAAGTATATGATCAGATAGTATGTGTTAACTATCAACAAAAATATGCTGACACACAAACAAACTGTTTCTTGGAATCTTTTGCCTGTGAAAATAATTATCTATTAGAAATTTGCCAGATGATTAAAAAAGAAAGAGAGTAGGCCTGTATTCACTAAATATCCAATATAGAGTAACCCTGCCTCTACTGATCACATGCCTTAATTTACAATTAGGTTTATCAACTTTTAGTTTCATTAGCTTTAAGTTTAGTCTGTATATTTGCAGTAATATCGTTAATCACATATTTGGTAGGTCAATGTCAATAGTCTTCTAGACTCCAGTAGGGTGGGGAAAAAAGCGGGGGGGGGGGGGGGGGGGGGGGTGGGGAGGGGGGGGCTAAGAAATAATTTTAGTTTGGGGAATGACGAATGTCTAATAATAATTTTTTTTAGATCTAATCTAGATTTCAGAATAGATCTAATTTATTCTAGATTTAACTAATAACTAGATCTATCAGAATTAACTTGTAGAAATCTAGATGACTAAACAAAAAGACTAGTCCAGAACTCCTGACTTATGTAATCTAGTGTATCGAAGTGAGAGAAAAGCCAGGTTTTTAAAAAATCAACAAGGTACACACCTGCGGTATACTTGCTCGCCAATTCCTTAGCACCTGCGTGTTCAGGGCCCCATCGAGGTTTAGATGCGACTTCTCCTTCTGAGTATTGAATATTTTTATTAGGGTCTTCTTCTGTCATAGAATTTGTAATTATTTCACTGTCTGACTTAACAGCCATCTCTTTTATTTGTTTGATCCCTCTGGTGACTGCTATTGTAGCAATGAAGTCTCAGCAGTAACCGGCTGGGGTGATGAACAAAATACAGGTTGAAATCTGATTGGATAAAAATATTTTATCTGAAAGAAATCATAACCTACATTAACAAAAAGTCATTTTTGTGTTATTTAGAAAACCAAAATTTTTTTTTAAATATTTGAATATAATTGAACAAAAATATTATATCTATATCTAACAGCGGTTTTATAAAAAATAATTGTATAAGTTGTATAAGTCAACAGGCTCACAACACATCAACACATATTCTTTGAGTGTGCTGTGCTGTCCCATTGAAAATGTGTAGTGTAGTACAGTGAAGCAAAATTAGCAGCCTATGTTCATGTGCTATCATTACATGTAAAGTTTACTTTAGGTCAAGTTCAATAACCTCAGTGAGACCATGTTTCAGTGTGTTTTATCACGTACACAGACATATGATAATCATTGAAATGATTGAATCAAACTGATCTAGATCTAGATCTAGACTAGATCTAGATCTCTAGATCTAGCTAGAATCTCAATCTTGAATCTAGATCTAGATCTAGAATCTCGATCTAGATTAGATTCTAGAGTAGATCTAGACTAGATCTAGATCTAGAAATCTAGATTCTAGATTTTCTAGAATCTAGTCGTAGATAATAGATCTAGATCTAGATCTAGATTAATAATTAGGCCTATAGGCCTAATTATAGTAATTAATTAATAATTAGGGCCTATTCAAGATAGAATATCTAGTATTCTCTAGATCTCTACTTCTAGATCTAGAATCTAGATCTAACTAACTAACTACTAAAAAGTACTAGATATCTAGATTCTAGAAGATCTGGTACTAGAATCTAGATTTAGATCTAGACTAGATAGATATTAGAATTAGATAGATCTAGATCCTAACTTAATTTTAATTTAATAATTTATTTGAGTAGGCCTAGGCCTATATCTACTTTTAGTACTTATTTATATCTAGTATCTAGTGTCTAGTCTAGATTCTAGATTATTCTTCTAGATTCTCTACTACAGGGGTTCCCAACCCTGTGCCCGCGGGCGCCATCATGGCGCCCGCCGAACGATTCGTATGTGCCCGCCTCTCACTATCCGACAGAGACAGAATGTTTTTCATAAACATTATTGAAGGGGATGGAAATCAAAAGTTTTAAAGTTTGAGGGGGGGGGGGTGCAAAAGGTTTGTCCCGGGGTGACGGGAAGGGTCGCTGGAAGTTTGTCGATTTAAAATAGGTGGTGCCCGCCACCCTACCGATATTTTAGAATGTGCTCTAGAGTAAAAAAATGTTGGGAACCCCTGCTCTACTAGATCTACTAAATACAACTAGTTAGTAGGCCTAACTAATTACTTAGTAATTAATCTAGGCCTAATTGTCCTAAAGAGTTCAACAAAAAAGTTATTTATTAATAACTTATTTATATTTAGGCCTACCTACTTAACATATTTAATACCGGCCGACCCGCGGTATCATATGCAGCTATTTAGTTGTTTTATTTTCTACTTTTCTGTAATTTATAAGTTCAATTTTAACTTGTGAATTTGATAGTACCAATTCTGCCACTGAGAATATTTGCTATAAAACCCTACCCCCCCCCCCCCCCCCGTGAAAGCAGCCTCCTCTTAGTTACCTCCCCTAAGTTTAAAATCCTTTAAAATTGTTAAAAAATAAATTATCTGCCCCTAATAACCATCACTAAACCCGGCTCTACAATTGTAAACATTTAGTGTGAACCACAGCTCACCAGACCATGTGGGGGTGGTAAGGATAGTCCTAGAGAGGAAGATAGGGGGCTGCTAGGCGTGCTTACAGCTTGGTGTTTTCTATGGTCTCCAAGAAGAGAATTATATATTTAGATAAATAACAATATTAATTATTTAGGCCTATGTTAATATGTAGTAGTATGTACTATGTAGGAATTTAATCAAATACTAGAATCACTAGATGATAGATCTATAAAGTAAAAATAGATCTAGAATACATCTAGAATACATCTATCCATAACTATAATCTATACTATTGACTATATATAGACTATAGGCCATAGGCTATCATTATATAGATAGGCCTAGGCTAAATTAAATATTATCTAGATTCTAAAATAAATACTAGGCCTATAGTTTATTATAGTCACTTTGGACTATTGTCATAATTGTCATTGATACCACTGGAAAGGAATCATTTTTTTTTTAAATTGTCTGATGTGTCATTAGAGATCTAGGAATCTTGGTGGTAGCTGACAGTAAACTACTAACAACAACCCTAGATTTATACTTGCTAATTGTCAATACAAAGTATTTCTAACCCACCCAATTCCTACCATCTCCCTATCCCTAAAGTGACTGATATTAAATTATTTAACCATATCTTGAGTCCACTGGATATTAATACATATCTTTGGTCCATTAGGTTTTGAGCAACTTCTTCAATCCAGACCTAGACCTACAGATTTCTTTAGTGCTCATCATCAGCTGTCCATAGTGAGTAACATATAGTGTGTGGTGGAGGGGGGCATCTGACTAGAATCAATCAACCTATATAGAAGACAGTGGACATACCAGCACTGTACACATCTATATATATAATTCTCTTCTTCGAGCCGTTAGAAAACAAGCTGCAAACGCTCTCCCTACCTCCCCACCCCTACATGGTTTTAGTGAGCTGTGTTCACTCTAAATGTTTACAAGCAGAGCCAACGATTTTAAACGTGGGGGGGGGGGGGGTTATGGTCCTTAACGAGCTACTTATAGTGTTTTAAAGAAATATTTTCAGTGTCAGCGTTGGTACTGTCGAATTCACAAATTATGAATTATTGAAAATTAGAAACAACTAAATAGCGGCGTATGTTATGCCGCGGGCCGGCTCGTATACAAGATTTGACATACCAGTTTTTGAAATGTCTTACATGAAGTGGAGACTTTTTTTTTACATGTATATGCTTACATAGCAGGACATTATTTACCATGGTTGTGTTCTCTTCTCAAAGATATGTTTCTTTTTATCTTTCTTTTGGTCTATATAAGCTAGGCAGCAAACTTAAAACATTATTCCCTGCAAAATAATAAATATTTCTACATTAAACTTGTAGTAATATATTTTTATTTGTATATATCTTTACAAGCTTTTATTTAGGTTGCAATGATTGTTTGTAGTTTATTTGTGTCTAATCTTGTAACTCAATTTCCACAAAATTACTTTCAAACTTTCCAGATACATTCCACTGCGATGACAAAACAAGTCTATCTATTTTTTAATTTAATTAGATGTTTAATTAGTCATTAAAAATTAATTAAACGAGCCGGCCCGCGGCATAACATACGCCGCTATTTAGTTGTTTCTAATTTTCAATAATTCATAATTTGTGAATTCGACAGTACCAACGCTGACACTGAAAATATTTCTTTTAAACACTATAAGTAGCTCGTTAAGGACCATAACACCCCCCCCCCTTCCTTCCCTCCCCCCCCCTCCTCCCCCCCCCCCCCCCCCCCCCTACGTTTAAAATCGTTGGCTCTGCTTGTAAACATTTAGAGTGAACACAGCTCACTAAAACCATGTAGGGGTGGGGAGGTAGGGAGAGCGTTTGCAGCTTGTTTTCTAACGGCTCGAAGAAGAGAATTATATATATAGATTAATTAAATGGTTTTGAAACTAAAGGGGAGATAACAAAATTAAATAACTTGATTCCTATATTCAATAACAGAAGGGGAGATAATTTACATAAACTAGCTAGACGGGATCACCAGAACAGTCTGGTGACCTGTAATTTACGTCGAATGTTTACAATTGTACAGCCATTTGATCTAGTGAAGGCTATTAGGGGGAGATAATAAAGTTTTTAAACAATTTGAAACTAAGGGGAGTTAGCAACTTTTAGAACTTGCTGTCCTCTGTAAAATATGGTCTCGGATGACTGCTTTCACGGGGCAGACAATCCTATTTTAAATATCGCCAGCTACTGATGGTGTTTTAAACCAAATATTTTGTTTTGTGTGGACGTCATAAAAATTAGGAATCACTAAAAAGTAGAAAATAAAACAAGTATATAAAACCTTTATAGCGACAAGCTTTTAAATGCAATGAAAATAAGAAAAATAAAACTAATCTACTTTCTTTCATAAAAAGTAGATTAGTTTTATTTTTCTTATTTTCATTGCATTTAAAAGCTTGTTGCTATAAAGTTTTTTTACCCTTGTTTTATTTAACAATATTGTCAATCATTTCTTGTCTCCCCTGGCCCTTGTCCCAGTAAAAAAAAAAGACTGGTGCATTCAAGAGATTTTACTTAATTATATGGACTTAATTATCTTTTATTTCACACCTTTTTCACAGTTACATGAACTTGAGATGAGTAGCTACTGTGTTCAAAAGACGCTGATCAGGTGGATGGTCCATCAGTTGATAAAGAACAGCACGCCAAACAAAAACTCAACACCAATTTGTTCTAGGTGCCTCTCCACTGTTGCCCAGTATGTTAAGCCAAAAAAGGCAAAAGGAGAAACTTACAGAAAAGTTGGTTTAATTTCTTACTTCTACAGTCACGCTGCTTTTGCTGCTACATTTTGTAGTACTATATTATTACAATTTTGTCTAGAATTTAAAATGTTACTTGAACTTTGACTTAGTTACATTTTGTAATTGTTTTGACTGTTATGTCTGAAATTTATTTCTAATCTTCTAGCAACGCCATTTTGTGGATTACATGGAGGTAACAGTTTCTGGTGGTAAAGGAGGAAACGGGATGTTGTCTTTTCTGTCCCTCCCCAGGCGCGAGTGGGCGGGGCCTGATGGGGGCAATGGTGGCAACGGAGGTCACCTCATTTTTAAAGGTAAACCTGGAGGAGAGCACTGTCAGAACATTCCAGACCATTCCAGTCTACACACATCTTGTTTAATCATTCTATACCAGACAATTCTATTCTACACACAGAAAAATCCATCTCACTTTTATTTCAGTGAGTCAGAAATTGAAATCCTTGTCTCACCTTTATTTCAGTGAGTCAGAAATTGAAATCCTTGTCTCACCTTTATTTCAGTGAGTCAGAAATTGAAATCCTTGTCTCACCTTTATTTCAGTGAGCCAGAAAGTGAAATCCTTGTCTCACCTTTATTTCAGTGAGTCAGTGAAATCCTTGTCTCACCTTTATTTCAGTGAGTCAGAAAGTGAAATCCTTGTCTCACCTTTATTTCAGTGAGCCAGAAAGTGAAATCCTTGTCTCACCTTTATTTCAGTGAGTCAGAAAGTGAAATCCTTGACTCACCTTTATTTCAGTGAGTCAGTGAAATCCTTGTCTCACCTTTATTTCAGTGAGTCAGTGAAATCCTTGTCTCACCTTTATTTCAGTGAGTCAGAAAGTGAAATCCTTGTCTCACCTGAAGCCACTAGAGGCGGCACCAAATGGAGTGAGGGGGGGAACAAAACAGCGAGATGGGAAGAATGCGGAACATCGTTATATAGAGGTACATTCAACATCCGTGTTGTTATATACAGGTACACTCAACATCGTTATGTAGAGGTACACTCAACATTGTTATATAGAGGTACACTCAACATCGTTATATAGAGGTACACTCAACATCGTTATATAGAGGTACACTCAACATCGTTATATAGAGGTACACTCAACATTGTTATATAGAGGTACACTCCACATCACTATGCAGAGGTACATTCAACATCAGTGTTGTTATATAGAGGTACACTCAACATCGTTATATAGAGGTACACTCAACATCGTTATATTGAGGTACACTCAACATCGTTATATAGAGGTACACTCAACATCCATGGTCTGTTTTAGCTGTTTAGGTTTGTATTTGTACAACTTGCAGAAGATTAAATATATTTTTTTTTAAACTCTCTTAACCATAAGTTTTTAAATGTACTCAAAATCAAACAAAAAAATATTTAAAATATTCCCATAGAACAGTCACTCAATGTACCAATAATCTCTGCTTTAAAACCACTCAATAATCTCTGCTTTAAAACCACTCAATAATCTCTCCTTTAAAACCACTCAATAATCTCTCCTTTAAAACCACTCAATAATCTCTCCTTTAAAACCACTCATCACCTAAAATTTTCAAAATATTTCTGCCATTACAACTCCCTGCTTGCATGCTGTGTCATCTATCGCTATATTCCCCTTGTTTAATGATGTTATGTAGTCACCTTGATTATATTTCTAATTATTTTACATTTGATACAAAAATTCATTGGCATTGAGGCTAGACATGTTCAAATGTTGAAACAAATAAGTGTTGAAAGCTTACGAAAAATTGATTGCTTGATACAATTTAGACAACATTATGCAAGTTAAATTAAAGCTCTTAAAGACGTTGTTACTGACTAGTTTATTTTAGTCACATTTTAAAATTTTAATGATAAGTAATATTAATGTATTTTGATATATTCCCTTAGGTGCCTGTTGGGACTATAATAAAGTCTGAAGATGGCGAGGTTATCTCCCTTGATAAAGAAGGTGACATATACATAGCTGCCAGGGGTGGGGCTGGTGGAAAGGGAAACTACTTTTTCCTGAGCAATGAGAACAGAGCACCAACCATCGCAGAGATAGGGGCTACAGGACAGGAGAGGAAGCTGGTGGTCGAGTTAAAGACCATGGCACACGCAGGACTGGTCAGTCAAGTTCATACTAATTGATTTTTAAATTTATTTTTGGATTTTTCTATCTTATTAATTAACACACATTAACATTAGAGTAAGGGACATAAGCAAGATAAACATGGGTTTTGCTATAATTTCAGGATTATCTTTCTTAAATCACATCTATGTAACAAGAGTTTTCTTTAGCCTTGAATTAGGTCTCTTTGAAGATGATCACTAAAACATTTCAATTTACATTAGATTGAAACTGAACTTGACCATGACATTGCTAATCTCCGATACATTTCCATTACTTTTTCCAATAGCATGCTACAACCCAAACACAAACCTTTTATTACATCAGTTTAATTTAACCTCCAAGTTTAAGTTTGTTAATTTGATTTGATTGAAAATTAAAAATTTTATTTTGATATATAATGAATAAGTTAGTTTTTAAAAAAGACTGGAGCTACAACACTTGAGTATATACGGGCTACGTTAATTTATTTGTCATGACAATGTTTAAATTATGGGGTGGAAAATATGGGGTGGAATGGGTTGAATACTTGAATGGGTTGAATACTTGAATGGGTTGAATACTTGAATGGTTTGAATACTTGAATGGGTTGAATTCTTGAATGGATTGAATACTTGAATGGGTTGAATACTTCCTCATGACACAGCTTGCCCACCTGACTGGACAGAGTGCTCTACTAGATGTCCAATCACTTACCTATGTCAACATTCCTAATTATATCACAATGTCTACCTAATATAGAACACAATAAACTACACTACAACCATGTCACCTAGCTCAGTATTCCGCACCATGTTTGTTTCAGATTGGGTTCCCTAATGCTGGCAAGTCCACCCTACTGCGCGCCATATCCAGAGCCCAACCTGAGGTCTCCGCCTTCCCCTTCACCACCCTCAACCCCCATGTGGGCATGGTGTTGTATGATGACTACGAACAAATTGCAGGTACAGGCACTTTACACTCTTTCTGCCCTAAATTATTTTCACATTTTTACAACCCATGCTGCAAATTGACTCATTACTTTTCCCCCATTCAGTTAAAAACTACACATGCCATACATATAAATTAACTGTAATTGAATTCTCCACATATTATTATTAATCTTAAGTTATCATTAATTAATTGAAGAAAGAAAATGTAGGCTACATGTGTGCAAGAACAAACTTAGCAAAAAAAAATACACTTTAGTTGGGAAAATAATTGACTTTTTTTTTTTAATAAAAAGAAATATGTCCTTTTTTAAACTAAAATTATCATTTAGAATAGCATTTAAAATAGATTTTGCTTAATATGTAAGTTATCTGTAGTTGGTAGCCACTGCCTTTGATAGGCATTCTGCAGTGTTAAAACAATGTTCACTTGTCTGTGATTTCACAAGCAGTGTTTACACGTTACAAAACTAATTATATGGACAAATGGTGTAAGAATCAAACACAGCTAAAATTGGCAGCTCTAGTGATATTGTGACTTAGTTTTGAGTTGCTAATGCTCAGACAAAAGAGAGAGAGGGAGAGAAATAGATGAGCTACACTTATCTGCCCTTGGTCGTTTTAGTCTTAACGTGTTTATTGATCTTGTTAGTAGAAACAAAAACGATGTAAAATGTGGGTTTTCATGCTTGTTTTTTTTTTTTTTGGGGAATTTTTTGGGTGTGTTTTAAGTTCATGTTTAAGTGAAATATCTTGAATGCACCAGTCTTTTTTTTTAAACAAGTTATGTCCCTTGTTTTAGGCTTTAAGGACTATAGTTTTTTATTTTTGTCCAAACCAATTGTGAAGCTATGAAGTAAAAGTTTTTTTACCTCTCCAGTTGCTGACATCCCTGGGCTGATCCCAGGGGCCCACCAGAACAAGGGGCTGGGCATCAGTTTCCTCAAGCACATCGAGCGCTGCCTGGGTCTCATCTATGTCCTTGACCTCTCAGTGGAGCAGCCGTGGCAGCAGTTGGAGCACCTGAAGTTTGAGCTGAACCAGTACCAGCCTGGCCTGGCTGACAGACCCAACCTGCTCATCGGCAACAAGATCGACCTGCCCGGCGCCTCACACAAGCTGGAGCAGGTCAAGACACACCTGGCGGAGTCTACGACGCAGGGGGCCACGTCTGAACCCATGAAAGTGTTGGGGGTGTCGGCTAAACATTTGATTGGAACAGAAGAGCTCCTACACTACTTGCGGATAATGTACGACACACATCATAAGGAGTTGATTTGAGTTGACAATAAATGTGTTACACTGATATGTTCGCTTGTTATGTGTAGGCTATGGTAATGTTATCTAGTGTCTTTAAGAGCCTGTGCCATAAGAATATAAACTGTTGTTTTAAATACATTATAATAATGACAGTAAATTAATGTTTACTTGTCTAGGAACTGATAAGTAATGCTGGAGTTGTTGACATAGCAACACAGGAGAGAGCACTCTAACTGCAATTAAATGGTGTTATCTTTGAGGAGTCACAAGTGATCCAAGTGTAGTTATTTTACAGTGTAGTTAGAACTGTTTGCATTTGGAGCATGACATTATCTTAATTTTAATACAGATTCTAAAAGTCACCTCTGCTTTGGCCACTAACTCTAACTTTGTACAAAAGTTTGTGATATTCAACATTCACTCTAATGCAGGTTTTAAAATGTATTCATGAACTTATTATTTCAAGATTTATTTAAATTAAAAACCAACAAATATTTCCATTATGATTTGAGTGCAATAATATTTAATTTAATTAAGAAATTAATGAGTTGTAAACTTTCACTATGCACCACCAGTCGTTAGATGGGCAATGGCTCAACTGTTGAAATGACTACGGCCAAACACAGTGGCGTAGCGGGGTCGAGTGTCAACAGGCACGGCACTTAATGGTGTCACCCCCCCCCTCCAGAGGCGTAACGACCCTTCCCGGGAACAAACTTTCAATTTTCGATTTGCACCTTCGATTTTGCACCCCTTAAAAGACTATTTAACACTCGAATTAATCAATTAAGTGAAATTGTCATTTTTCTCTATATATTTTGCTCTTTTTTGCCAAACTATTTCCCCTTCAAAAACATTATTTACATCACAAGGCTATGATGTTCTAAGAAAATATATTTTCAATGACAACACAGTCTTAAAATTTGATGATGCTCTAATAACTTGATATAACATTTATCAAGTTAAAATTCAAACATGATATTTGAACTATTTCAATAGTTGATGCCCCAAAGACTTGATATTTTAACCATTCCACATGTTTATCTTAATAAAATTTGATAATTGCAACATCCTACCAGTTGACCATAAAACTACAACATCCCACCAGTTGACCATAAAACTACAACATCCCACCAGTTGACCATAAAACTACAACATTCCACCAGTTGAACATAAAACTACAACATCCCACCAGTTGACCATAAAACTACGACATCCCACCAGTTGACCATAAAACTACAACATCCCACCAGTTGACCATAAAACTACAACATTCCGTCAGTTTACCATAAAACTACAACATTCCATCAGTTGACCATAAAACTACAACATTCCCCCAGTTGACCATAAAACTACAACATTCCAACTGTAGACAAACAGAGATAGCGGAATGTACTGCCACCATTCCAACCATCTGAGGGGACACTTAAACGTTATCTGCCGCTCGTGTGTTGACGCTGGAACTTTGTGCCTACGTCACGAGGGGCATCTTGGTCTGGCTACAGGGGCGTGGTTAGGGTTGGTGAGTGGGGTGGACAACATGCTGGAACTCACGTCATGCAGAGTTTCTTCCAGGCGTCTCTTTTTTTTTGGGGGGGGGGGGGGGGGGGCTCCGCTGATCAAAAGATTCGACTTGACGTAGAAGTTTGAGGGCATCTTTGGGCACCTATAGCTGAGATTTTTTTCAATGTGGTCCTCTGGTGCCACTTGCAGTTTGTTTTTTAATGACAAGCTATTTTTAGCTAATCAAAAACTTAGTATACGAGGACTAAAAAACGAAACAATAGCAGAACTTTATTTCAGAATCAATCATTGTATGACCCATTCATTTTACAGTTGAGGATAATACAAAGCATAAAATAATGACAGACCTATTTCCACATGCCGAATTTTCAAAGATTTTGATTGGCTTTGTAAAATACGCGAACATGCCGTCACCAACTGTGTTCTACAAGAACAGAATTTTAAAAGTATAGCAGTGACGCCTTTGCATTCTCCGGCATTTTTTCTTATTTCAAAATGAAATAAAAGAAATATTTGAAAAATATTTAATGTTAATTAATTTTTAGTTATCCATAAAGAGAGTATTTTAAAAAAAATAGTTTCCAAGCCCTGGTAGTGTTTCGCGTGTGTGTATTTGGTGAACAAGCCACAGAGTACGATATAATTGTACCTATTTTTCATCTTAACGTTACAATCTTCTAATTATATAATTATAAAATATGTTAAGTAGCCATACGTGACCCACTTTTGTTCCGCTACGTCACAGCCACCTCTGGTCTACAAAGTGCACCAAGTGTCGTATAAAACCGTCAATAGGTCATGTGATAAGTTCAAGCAAAGATCCACCTGGTCCGGTGAACACAACAGTAGACACCGTTATGTAACTTCACTGAGACCAAACTTTAAAGTACAGTTTGGTTAAAACAAGAACAAGGGGATTTACTGCGGTTGAGAATTATTTCATTATTACCGGTGTCATTAAATAAATTCATGAAACAAAAGAAAAGACTAAAATTATATTTTTTTTTAAATAAATAACTTCACGAAATTTCCAGGGAGCAGTGTTTTTCATTGTTTTATTAACGGATGTCGGAGGCCCAGTCTAACAGATTCGTTGCAAAATTTGGTGAATAGAAAACACTACACGGATAGATTTTTTTGTAAGTAAATATCGTATGTTAACAATGTTAACATATAACTTTAACAATGTTTACGTATAACTTTAATAATGTTAGCATAAAACTTTAGTCTAGTTTAACAATGTTAACATATATTTTAACAATGTTAAAAATAACTTTAACAATGTTAACAAATAACTTTAACAATGGTAACATATAACTTTAACAATGTTAACATGTAACTTTAACAATGTTAACATGTAACTTTAACAATGTTAACATATAACTTTAACAATGTTAACAAATAACTTTAACAATGTTAACATATAACAACGTTAACAAATAACATTAACAGTGTTAACATGTAACAATGTTAACAAATAACTTTAACAATGTTAACAAATAACTTTAACAATGTTAACAAATAATGTTAACAATGTTAACAAATAACAATGTTAACACCCGTCCCTCCCCAGAGTTACATAACGACATCAATAGGCGATGGTCGAAAGTTTTCTGGATTTCTGTGGTGGTTCTCCACTCTGGGTAAGTTAGAGAAGCACTGACACTGACACTAACACTGACATGACACTAACACTGACACTGACACTAACACTAACACTGACCCTAACACTGACACTGACACTAACCCTAACACTGACACTGACCCTAACACTGACACTGACACTAACCCTAACACTGACACTGACCCTAACACTGACACTGACACTAACCCTAACACTGACACTGACCCTAACACTGACACTGACCCTAACACTGACCCTAACACTGACACTGACCCTAACACTAACACTGACACTGACCCTAACACTGACACTAACACTGACACTGACACTAACACTGACACTAACCCTAATAGTTATTCTAACACTAACACAACTGGCATTGGAATTTTTTCTTCTAGAATTGCTTTTCTACTGTTCACATTGACTGAACTGCTCTACTGAAGTAATCGACTGTTTTTACAACCACAAATTTATGTCAAATCGACACTGCTGACAAGATAAGCTTTGGCAAAACTAACAATACAGTGAAACCTGTTTAAGTTGTAGGTGACAAAATACATCGCCCACACTCGGTCAAACGTAATAAAAGTGGACCAATTGAGGGAATAAACGATGGTTATCCTCCTTAGACTGTTGACATTCTATCTGTTGTCTCCCTTGAACTAATGATTTAGAATCGCCTTTCCTTTCCTCATCATTGAAAACCCTAGAATCTACAGAATTTATATATATATATATATATATATATATATATATATATATATATATATATATATATATATATATATATATATATATATATATATATATATACATACATACTTATATACACATTATATTTAGGCATAACACAGTCGCCACAAATAATCGAGTCAATACATCTTTTGAAGTGCCATGCCGTACATTTATAGCACTCTGCCTATGCCAGCACATTGTTTGTCTATTGCACACTGCTCTAAAACTACCAGACCCTGATGCCGATTGTTTGCCTTCCAGAACGAGAGTCTGCTGACCGGGGGCTCCTACCCCCAGTTCACGCCATGTTTCCTCAACACCGCCCTGGTCTGGGCGCCGTGCGGACTCCTCTGGGTCAGCGTGCCCCTGTACTTGACCTTCCTGAAGCTGGCACGCCGGGCTGACCCACTTCCTGTCCAGTTTTTAAACGTCCTCAAAACTGTAAGTAGCCTCGTGCACATTGGTCAGTTGTAGTAGCCTCGTGCCCATTGGTCAGTTGTAGTAGCCTCGTGCCCATTGGTCAGTTGTAGTAGCCTCGTGCCCATTGGTCAGTTGTAGTAGCCTCGTGCCCATTGGTCAGTTGTAGTAGCCTCGTGCCCATTGGTCAGTTGTTTCAAAAACTGTGAGTAGCCTCGTCCCCATTGGTCAGTTGTTTAAGTTATTAACTGGCCATTCGGACGATTACGTGTAGAGCCTAAATATCCATCTCTCCCCAGATCATCTCACTACTGCTGTGTACTTTATCCATCATCCAACTTGTGGATCACACTAATGATGACGATGTTTTCACGGCCCAGCTGGTAGCAGACGGCGTCAAACTGGCCACATTCGTGAGTACATTTGGCCAAACGTTCGTGAGTACATTTGGTCAAACTGGCCACATTCGTGAGTACATTTGGTCACACTGGCCACATTCGTGAGTACATTTGGTCAAACTGTCATGAGTACATTTGGTCAAACTGGCCACATTCGTGAGTACATTTGGTCGTACTGGCCACATTTGTGAGTTACATTTGGCCAAAATGGCCACATTCGTGAGTACATTTGGCCAAAATGGCCACATTCGTGAGTACATTTGGTCAAACTGTCCACATTCGTGTGTACATTTGGCCAAAATGGCCACATTTTTTATTAAATTTGATTTACAACACCATGCGGTTGAGATAACAATATTCTATATATATATATATATATATATATATATATATATATATATATATATATATATATATATATATATATATATATATATATATATATAGTGTCCTGAAACCACAATTGTAGGGCGGGTGAGGTGGGGGGAAGTTAAGATTTACAACAAGGGGGCTGTAGTGTAAGGTCTGTGAGACTAATTCTAACTATTTCAGTTCCTCTCCATCGTGATCATCCAAATAGACCGCCATTTTGGGAGGATCAACTCACTGCCGCTGTTCTTCTTCTGGCTACTGATGGCGGTCACCAACATCGTCCCGTTCTACACCAACATAGTGCAGGAGGTTAGTCTTAATCGTTCTACACCAACATAGTGCAGGAGGTTAGTCTAAGGGGCCGCTAGCACTGGGATAAACATTGCAGTGGCCTCCCATTGTCTGTTGTACACGTTATTGCCCCTGTCGTCATGACGTATTTCCCTGTGTGTGGGATATATGTATAATGTCTTCAGGTGAATCCTATGTTATGTCCTTACATGTAATCCCTTGTCCTCATGTGAATTGGCCTCGTGTATAATCTCACGTATAATGTCCTCATGTGTTATGCCCTAATAATGTTCTAGTGTATAACGTCTCCAGGTGTAATGTCCTCGTGTAAAATGTCCCCAGGTGTAATGTCCCCATGTAAAATGTCCCCAGGTGTATGAGAGCAATGAGGTCCAGTTCGCCACACAGTGCTGTCTCTCTGTCCTACTCGCCGCCCAGTTCATCATCTTCTGCTTCGCGGAGAGACGGTTAAGGACCGGATATTATGATCTTACCAAGGTTTGTGTTCCTCCTTTTTAAAACGTTTGTTGGGTGCTCCGATATTGTAAAAATGAGGGGGGGAGGGGGGGGGGGGTAGTGTGAGTTAGTGTGGTCAACTGCTGCTGTTAGTATCACCACTGACCTAAAGTTTCTTGTATTTACCCTCCCCAGTCCACCACACCATCACGTGAGCTGACCGCCTCCTTACCCAGCATGTTTTCATTTTGGTGGACAAACAAGTAGGTCACGTTGATTCTAGTTTTAAAGTAGGTCACGTTGATTCTAGTTTCAAAGTAGGTCACGTTGATTCTAGTTTCAAAGTAGGTCACGTTGGTTCTAGTTTTAAAGTAGGTCACGTTGGTTCTAGTTTTAAAGTAGATCATGTCGGTTCTAGTATAAAGTAGGTCACGCTGATTCTAGTTTAAAGTAGGTCACGTTGATTCTAGTTTCAAAGTAGGTCACGTTGATTCTAGTGGGATTTTTTTTTCTTGTTTTATTTTAAAAATTATTTTTAAACTGAATTGGTGTAAAATTAAACATGTTAAAGAAATGTCTGCATTGTACAACTGACTCACGCTAAAGTAGCTTCCGTCTTGGTCCGCCCTAGGCTGATCTGGACAGGCTACAAGAAGACCTTGACCGAGGCTGACGTCAACGACCTTCACCCTGAGGACATCAGCGAGTACCAGGTGCCAAAGTTTGAGAAAGCCTGGAGGAAAGAGGTGGATAGGTGTAACGAGTACAACAAACAGTATATGTAAGTTGGCGTGTCAGGCACATGTCAGTTGTCGTGTCAGTCAAATGTCAGTTGACGTGTCAGTCACATGTCAGTTGACGTGTCAGTCATATGTCAGTTGACGTGTCAGTCACATGTCAGTTGACGTGTCAGTCACGTGACATGTGGGGGCCTGTTATAAACGACGTTACACTCCTTAAATATGGTGGTGTTGGAGGTGGGGGGGGGTTGGTCTTTTGTAATGACGTGGTTGGGGGTAAGGGGTAAGAAAGTGTGACGTTAAAGGGGTGCATTTAAAACAATCACGTGTCACCTTTTTTTTTCGAGTTTTTTGGAAAATTTACCAACGGATCCAGATCAAATTGTGATCTATATTCGCTAAAATGCTCAGAACCACATTAGTAAGAAATTTCCGATCGAAGGGAAACTACTCAAGTAATAGTTTCTTCAAAATCACCACTTCTCGGTTATGTCCCCTTATAGAAATCAAACGACAAAATTAGGAATATGTTTGTTTATTTTAAAATTATTTTAGGAATTAGGTGGGGGTGGGGGGTTTTGTCTTATTTTTTTTTACGATGTTACATTTTTTAAAAAGTTATGTTGTTGATTGACGATCTCATAATACAAATATTTTAATAAAAGATCCGCTAATGTAAAAAATATAAGCTTATGTATTGAACCTTAGATTCTGCAACCATCGCATTACGTTTTATTCTGTTCTTGTGACCCACCGTGTCCCACTGTTTCAGAGCTTTGTTCGGGGAACCCAAGTCCCGCTACTCCTCCATAGAAAAAACTGTAATTCTCCAAGCCAACGAGAAAACAAAACTGCTGGACAAATACCGCGATGAAAAGGAAAAGAAGGACGACTCGCCCCTGAAAAAACCGTCACTGGTTCGCGTCTTGTTTAAAGTCTACGGTCTAGAGCTCATCTGTCTACAGGTACAACACGGCACATTTAGGGTCTTATGAGAAATAAATGGTAGACTGCCTTTAGGGTCTAATGAGAAATAGTGGCAGACTGAATTTAGGGTCTCGTGAGAAATAGTGGTAGACTGCCTTAAGGGTCTCATGAGAAATAGTGGTAGACTGCCTTTAGGGTCTCATGAGAATTAGTGGTAGACTGCCTTTAGGGTCTCATGAGAAATAGTGGTAGACTGCCTTAAGGGTCTCATGAGAAATAGTGGTAGACTGCCTTTAGGGTCTCATGAGAATTAGTGGTAGACTGCCTTATGGGTCTCATGAGAAAATAAATGGTAGACTGCCTTAAGGGTCTAATGAGAAATAGTGGTAGACTGGCTTTAGGGTCTCATGAGAAATAGTGGTAGACTGGCTTTAGGGTCTCATGAGAAATAGTGGTAGACTGCCTTTAGGGTCTCATGAGAAATAGTGGTAGACTGCCTTAAGGGTCTCATGAGAAATAGTGGTAGACTGCCTTTAGGGTCTCATGAGAAATAAATGGTAGACTGCCTTAAGGGTCTCATGAGAAATAGTGGTAGACTGCCTTATGGGTCTCATGAGAAATAAATTGTAAACTGCCTGTATCTAGTTATTGCCAGGTTTTTCTTTAACCTCGGTGTTTAAAATTTTTGCATTCTGAACATGCCCATCTTTACTTTTCCTCCATCAAATTTTTTTTATGAAACTGAATCAAATACATTTTTGCTTGGAAATTTAGTAAAATCTTTTGTTTGGTTATGTCAGAGTTCTGTACATTAGTACAGCTCAGGGGTCGGCAACCTTTTGAGACGAAAGAGCCAAAAGTTACAATTTACAACATTACCCACTAACATTTTTATGTCAATGGTATATTTGCTTAGGATTATATATATATATATATATATATATATATATATATATATATATATATATATATATATATATATATATATATATGTATATATATATATATATATATATATATATATATATATATATATATATATATATATATATATATATATATATATATATATATATATATATATATAATCCTAAACAAATATCATACTATATATATATATATATATATATATATATATATATATATATATATATATATATATATATATATATATATATATATATATATATATGTATATATATATATATAATCCTAAGCAAATATACCATTGACCATCTCTCTCTCTCTCTCTCTCTCTCTCTCTCTCTCTATATATATATATATATATATATATATATAATCCTAAACAAATATCATACTATATATATATATATATATATATATATATATATATATATATAATTTAAATACATATGAAATAATCTCATTTGAATTTGTGTTGAGAGGATCTATTATGTAAGTCAGGGTACTTGCACTTGTTTTGAATAACTCAAATCTCTCAGTGAAAACACCCTTCAGTTTGTTTATATTAATGCTGAAGTGATTGTATAGTAGCAATGGTTTCATAACGATATTTTTTCAGATTTTTCGTAATGTAGTAATTTACCGCTTACCATGTATTCAACAAAAAAGTAATTTTTTATCGAAACAAACCACTTCTTCAAGCAAGACATAGGCTGGGTTTTCCTTTCAGTTTTACACTTAGCTGGTTTAGTTTATTTGTGATATCCACTATGAAGTTGAATGTTTCAATTCGGGATGGTCGATTTAATAAGAAGTAGCCTACATTGAGATAGGGAGTAACTAAATATTATAATATAATAGTGAATGTTTATTGTTTATATCTATTGTTATATCGTTTATTATCGAGTGTTGCAGACTAATATTTTTATAAGTTTTGAAAAAAAAAAATTATTATTAATATTTGTGCATGGAGCTGAAGAGCCGCAACTGGACACCAAAAGAGCCGCATGCGGCTCGCGAGCCGCTGGTTGCCGACCCCTGGTACAGCTGTATTTTTTTCGAACTGTTTAAACTGACACAGGCCTTGTTTAATTAGAGAAAAAGCATTAGAACTATACATCGGTGATAATAAAGGAAAATGACGAATGTATATCTAGTTGAATATTTATGAATATTGTTTTCGAACATAAAGCACGTTTCTAAGATTAAAACCGTGAATTAGTATTTATTTTAAAACTCTTGTCTTTATTTTTACAATATAAATGCAATTTGAAATACAAAACACATAATTCAAGAAATTTTAAAATATAAAGAAACTGAGAAATAAATCCAAATAATTAACCGAATGTGCTGTAAAAATACGTTTGTCTCCCTTAGTTGACAAGAACATGTTTTGACTTACTGGCCTTCATTACCCCAAAAATTACTGAGTGAGTTTTGTTTGAATTTTTTTTCTTTTTAAATTAACATAATTATTTGTCTCTCTTCAGATAAAGCTTAACTTGCTTCTATTTCAACTGAATTTTAAATATTTTTCTTTTAAAATTAAATGTAGTTTAACAAAGATTTATTTTCTTCTATTTTAACTTAATTTTAAATATTTTCTTTTAAATTTAAATGTAGTTTAACAAAGATTTTTATCTTCTATTTAAATTTAATTTTAAATATTCTTCTTTTACAGTTAAATGTAGTTTAAAACATACTTAAATTTTAAATATTTTTCTTTAAAATTTTAATGTAGTTTAACAAAGATTTGTTCCTATTTATCCTATCATATCTTATAACCCAGGGGTCTCCAAACTACGGCCCGCGGGCCGGATACGGCCCGCGAGTTCATTTCATCCGGCCCGCGACGATCTCTATGTCCACTGAATAAATGATTGTTAGAGGTGACTGAGGAACTTTGCACAGAAATTTCAAAACAATTTGAAAATGTAGCTTTGGGTGCAAATACCATTGCCCGCCGTGTTGCAGACATTGGTGAAAACATCGTGACTCAAATAGCGAAATATGCAAGCAAGCTTCGCCATTTTTCAATTGCAATGGATGAGTCGCTGGACAGTTGTTCCACTTCAACGTCTTGTGTTCATTAGAGTGGGTATAGAAATTGGCCTCTGCTGCACACATAACTAGTCATTTAAATTTTCTGAACCTAAAACGGCAAGAGAGGGAAATCTAGTTTCTTATCTATACACACACCTAAAGGCCTTCAGATACAAACTTGTCATGTATTTGTAACAAGTACAGGCCAACAACTTGACGCACTTTCAGCAGTGCAAGTTCTTTACGGCTGAAGAAACCAATGAATGCCCCACGTCATTTCCATATAATCTCCAAAGACTTCCAGCTGCAGTTTCAGTAGGTTCTCTGACTTGGCTTAGAAGGCAGAAGAAGTGAGACTGCTTCAAAGCCCATTTGAAGCAAATGTGGCCAGTTGCAAAGATGAACTACAGCTGGAAGTCATTGAATTGAATTGCAAGAAAATGACTTCATTAGAGACACGTTCAAAGAAGGGCGGATGGGTTTTCATACGTTTTTGCACAAGGAAGACTTTCCTAATATTAAAAGTTCTGCATCAAAGTACCTTTCAAATTTTAAAACAACATACCTGTGTGAACAAACATTTTCAAGAATGAAATACGTGAAGAACAATTTGAGAGCAAACTTAGACATCGAGTGTGTTATCGACCCCCGAAAGCGTTTCTTCCAGACTTTTTCTCCCTGGGGGTGGGGTGGAGGGTAGGGGGGTGGACACATGAAATTTGCAAATATTTCTATATAAATAATATTTCGTGGGGTAGACGTTCCCCGAAGAGATGCCTAAAGAAACTCTGGCCCCCGAACTGATATTTCATAGTTAATGCGGCCCTCGGACTGAAAAGTTTGGAGACCCCTGTTATAACCCAACGTGACAGAACATTTTGTTGTGTACCTACACGTAACCCAGCGGTTTAAAATGTCTCTGCGATTGTCTACAGAGCCCTGTTGGCCTACATCCAGGGGGAGAAACACGACTACGACATCTGGAAGGGTTATCTGCTGGCGGCATCCTACTTTGTGGTCAGCACCATCACCTCCATCTGCACCAACCAGATCCTCAACCGCAACAAACGGCTCGGCATGCACATCAAATGTTCCATCACGGCTGCCATCTACAGGAAGGTAGGGCGGGTTCTAGAACATTCTACCTGCAGGTTCTAGAACATTCTATTTGCAGGCTCTAGAACTTTCTACCTGTGGGTTCTAGAGCATTCTATTTGCAGGCTCTAGAACATTCCAATAAATATATCTTCTCTCATGGCCTGACAATTCATGAACATTTTATTTACTAAATTTGTTTACATGTGTTAAATAAACATCATTGTTTCTTCCAGATTTTTTTCTCCGGTGGGGGGGGGGGGGAGGGAGGCACTTGATATTTTCAGGGAGGGGGGCGGTCAACATTTTTAGGGGCGGAGCCCCCCCCCCCCCCTCGAAGAGATGCCTGGAAAAAAACTCTGATAAACATACTAATTCAAAAGTTGTTTAAATAATTCATCATAACCTTCTGTTTATCCATTTATTAAATTTATTTAATTTTGCATGTTCGTTCTTACAACCTGGAGTTCATTTTCTTTAAACAAATTTCCTTGTTCTCATGCTGATTTGTGTGTGTTGCTGTGATGATGTGGTGGTTGTGTGTGATCTCATGGTAATATTGTGGTTCTGTCTGATCTCATGGTGATGCTGTGTATCTACTCCAGGCTCTCACCATCAGCAACGATGCCAAGAAAGAATCAACGCTGGGTGAGATCGTTAACCTGATGTCTGTGGACTGCCAGAGACTGGAGAACGTCATGAACTACTGCTACATCTTCTTCTCAGCTCCATTCCAGGTGGGTCATTCATCAGGTGGGTCAGGGGTGGGTCATTCACCAGGTGGGTCATTGATCAGGTGGGTCATTGATCAGGTGGGTCATTGACCAGGTGGGTCATTCACCAGGTGGGTCACAGGTGGGTCATTCATCAGGTGGGTCATTCACCTGGTGGGTCATTGACCAAGTGGGTCGTTGATCAGGTGGGTCACAAGTGGGTCATTCATTAGGTGGGTCATTCATCAGGTGGGTCATTGACCAGGTGGGTCATTGACCAGGTGGGTCACAAGTGGGTCATTCATTAGGTGGGTCATTCATCAGGTGGGTCATTGACCAGGTGGGTCATTGACCAGGTGGGTCACAAGTGGGTCATTCATTAGGTGGGTCATTCATCAGGTGGGTCATTGACCAGGTGGGTCATTGACCAGGTGGGTCACAAGTGGGTCATTCATTAGGTGGGTCATTCATCAGGTGGGTCATTGACCAGGTGGGTCATTGACCAGGTGGGTCACAAGTGGGTCATTCATTAGGTGGGTCATTGACCAGGTGGGTCACAGGTGGGTCATTGACCAAAATGTGTCATTCACCAGATGGGTCATTGACCAGGTGGGTCATTTAAACTGTCAAATACCATACATCTTCTTCTCAGTTCCATTTCAGGTGGGTGATTCACACTTTCTCATACCATTTTAAACATGAATTGACACTGGAAAGACATATTATAAGCTCTTAAGGTGGAAATTTAAAAAATACTGAAATTAATGTATTGTTTAAACTATATCATTTAAATTACCATAAAGGCAAAACGTATGTTATATGCCTTATTTTAGTCATACTAAAAATATGCCTCAAAATATTTGTTGGTCTTATACAATTTTTCCACATTACTTAAGCTTTTTATGTGTTGAATGATAATAAAAATATTCCCCTCGATTGTCCTAGATTTGTACAAATTGTATAATAAAATATTTCCCCAGATCGCCATAGCACTGTACATGTTGTACGACCAAATTGGGATCGCTACTTTTGCCGGACTTGGTGTGATTCTGATCCTGATGCCCATGAATACCATCGTGTCAGTCACACTACGCAAGTACAACAGGCGCATGATGAAACTAAAGGACAGACGTATTCGTCTGATGAATGAGATACTCAATGGCATGAAGGTAACCCACACAAGCATTTTCACATCTAGGCCACCAATTGTAGTCAATATTTTACTGTTGTATTTGATTGTTCTAAACATAAATTAATCTTTTATTTTTAATAAAGCATCTTAATTATTTAAAAGCTATGTGTTTTCCATATTTTCAAATAAAAATTAATTATAAAGTAAACAATGTATAATGTTAAATTCTACAAATGAAACCATTATGTTGTTTTATTTACAGGTTCTCCAAGTGTATGTTTGGGAAGAAGCTTTTGAAAATGTTGTATTCACAGGTTCTCAGAGTGTAGTTTTATTTGCAGGTTCTCAAAGTGTACGGTTGGGAAGAAGCTTTTGAAAAGAAAGTTGCCACCTACAGGAATGAAGAGATTAAGTTAATCTTTAAACTCTCTTTGGTCATGGCATCACTGAGCTTAATCTTCCAAATCATACCGTATTTTGTAAGTTGTTTTTTATAACTTGGCTTTGGTCCATATTTTGTAAGTTTTTTTTTTTTATAACTTGGTTTTTGCTATATATTTTGTTCGTTTTTTGTTATTGTTTTTTTTTTTTTTCACTATTTAGTTTTTTACCTCCTCCATATTTTGTAAATTGCTTTTTGTTGTTGTTTCTTTTTACATTATTTAGTTTTTTCCTTCACACTGCTAGCGTTTTCTCTACACATATTGTTTTTTTTTCTCCTACATATTTGATATTTGTGAGTATTTAACCAAATTTTGTAGGTAGTAAACATTTTATACATGATAAATGTAAATAATGAAATATTTATTTGACTTGCCAGGTGCAAGTTGCATCTTTCGGTGTGTTTATTGCCATCGACGAGTACCTGGACCCCAGCAAAGCTTTTGTCTCCATCTCCCTCTTCAACATCCTGACAGGTGCTCTCAGTATGATGCCAATGGTCATTCCAGCTCTTGTACAGGTCAGTTCCATTTTCTCTGTTTCACACCAGCCCTTGTACAGGTCATTTAGGTTTAATTTTTTGGCTAATTATGTTTTTCATTTTTTTTTTGTTGAGTTTCTGGAATAGACAATATAGTATTGAAGTTAGAATACGTTTATCCCAGTAAGACTGATTGATATAATGATTGATGCAATGATTGATATAAGTATAATCTAAAACTTGCAGGCCGGTGTATCAATCACAAGAATTGTGGGATTCTTCCGCCAGCCGGATTTGAACCCAGATGCCCGCACATATGACCCAGGATCTGGTAACTTTTTCATTATGACTTCTGTAGCTTGTATGTTAACTGGCATGTCACAGTATGTTAACTGGCATGTCACAGTATGTTAACTGGCATGTCACAGTATGTTAACTGGCATGTCACAGTATGTTAACTGGCATGTCACAGTATGTTAACTGCCATGTCACAGTATGTTAACTGGCATGTCACAGTATGTTAACTGGCATGTCACAGTATGTTAACTGGCATGTCACAGTATGTTAACTGGCATGTCACAGTATGTTAACTGGCATGTCACAGTATGTTAACAGGCATGTCACAGTATGTTAACAGGCATGTCACAGTATGTTAACTGGCATGTCACAGTATGTTAACTGGCATGTCACATACCACACAACTTTTTTTTTGACAAACTTGTCCACAACACACATACATTGAGGTACATTTAAATAAAATTATCTCCATGAACCAAAAAAAATGTTTAATTGTCCCCAGACACCGCAATCAAGATAGAAAATATTTTTGTTTAATTGTCACCAGACACCGCCATCAAGATAGAAAATATTTTTGTTTAATTGTCCCCAGACGCCGCCATCAAGATAGAAAATGGAACCTTCAAGTGGGACAACGTCATGCCAGAACCTACGCTCAAAAAGTTGGCCAAAATAATTTACTTACATTCTTAGTCTAATGAATTTTTTTTTGTTATTCTTTAATGCTTTAACTATAGTGTTGTATCTGGTATAGTTGTATGCGATGTTTTAAGCTGTGGCTGAGATTATTACACTTGGATTAGTTCCCATTTAAACTTACAAAAACCTACTAAAATCTCCTTAAACCTACTAAAACCTACTGAAACCTACTTAAACCCACTAAACCTACTTAAACCCACTAAAACCTATTAAATCCTACTAATAACTCAAACCTACTAAGACCTACTAAAGCCTATTTAAAACTCCTAAAACCTCCTAAAAACTTACCTAAACCTAACAACTTATGTTTCCAGCATCAACATCAGCATCAAGCCTGGCAGTCTTGTGGCTGTTGTTGGCACTGTGGGCAGTGGCAAGTCTTCACTGCTGTCCGCCATCTTGGGGGAGATGACCAAGGTCAAGGGCAGGGTCACTGTCAGGGTAGGGGACATACAGTAGTATTAGAAGCAATCGTGCCAACCAGAGGCGTATCCATGTTTTCGTTGTAGGGGGAGCGAAAAGATCAAAAAAAGGCGCCGAATTTTTAACACGTTCTATATACGTGTATTATATACGTGTATTATATATAAATATATATATATATATATATATATATATATATATATATATATATATATATATATATATATATATATATATATATATATATATATAATTACTAGCTGTATATCATTACTTCGCTATGATGTAAAATAAATTGAAAGTAGCACTCTGAAGAAATAAGAAAAAACACACAATGTAGGCCGACAAAACAAAAATTCTATAATTCTAAACAACAACAACAAAAATATACACACACTACAACCAAAACAATGAACGTAACACAATCTGTTTTGTTATTCTTGTAAAAAAAAATTCTTACATAATAATTCCTGGGAAATTATTTAAGACAAGTGAAATAGGGGAAATAATCACTCTCTTAATATAAATATGTATATATCTACACATTTAATTATAAATGTCAAAACAAATAAATAATTTCTTTAGAATATAATGAAATTGATTAACACAATTCGTGTTTACAAAATGTTTTTGTCTATAATCAAAATTTAATATATAGTCATCATAAATGCTAAAGTATTACAGCATAATGAAAGTTTTTAAAATCAGAGTTGGTATAAAACCACGCATTTCGAGATCAAAGAAAAACACTTGGAATAACAGCCTACAGTTAACTAAAACTTGGTCTTTTATTTCAGATTATATACTTTTAATTAACTACTACTTCTTTGTTTTCTTTAAAGATCATTTTTAACATAGTGATAGGTATGAGTTAGATCACTGTATTGATCACCAACCTTTTTACTGGTAATTGCAAAAACAATATTCACAGAGTTTTACGTTTAAAAAGCTAATTTTCTGGCGGCATGGTACTTTGGTACATCATTACGCGTTTTTCTATTTGTACTTAACAGATCAGTTTGGGGTGGGTTGGGGGGGGGGAGGGTTCAACTTCATTCACCACTGTCCTGTCACTTAAGTCAATTATCCAACCCAGTGTATACCTAGGTGTGACATTAATGTCGACACAATTGTGGTGGTGAGGTGTGTGTGTGTGTGGGGGGGGGGGGGAGATAACCAACTCAGACTGAACATAGCATCAGTTTTTAGATGACTGCTCTAAACATACATATATATTACACAAATATATATTACACAAATATATATTACAGAAATAGATTTAAATAAGTAGCAGTGGTTATGACAATATTTGTTTTTACAGAGGGGTCCATGGGGGAGGGGGCTTGTCAAAATTTTCCCACCACTACGCAGTTTGCTCATAAGTAAATTTAAATAGAGGTGCCACATCAGTTGTATTTGTTTCTGTATTGTAATTATTTTTTAAATTAATCACACGATTCAAGCTGAATATATAAAGTAATTATGTGTGAAGTTTTATGTATAACATTTTCTAATTCAATTGGTCGTAAGCAAATACATTATACAGTTGCCTTAAACTTAACATCCCTCTTGCAAAGTGGTACTACCCGTAGAGGTTTTTTAAACATTGCAATGCATCATAATGGTTATTTTTAGAATGGCAAACTGATGCAGCTGTTAATACGTGTTGTAAACGTAGACACTACTAGACTAGTACAATAATGCTTAATTGCTGCATGAAAAGAAATCTTGTGATTTACATAGATGTGCCGATCAAAAATGTTTTTTAACAAATATCATTGTTTAAAACTTTGAGTTTAAAAAGTTTCCAAAAAGGCGCCACTTTGCTAAAAATCGCCAGAGGGGGAGTGGCCGCTCCCCCTGCTCCCCCCCTGCGTACGCTACTGGTGCCAACTGCCATCTATTTTATGAAAAATGTTTAAAATTGCTTGTTTTCAAAAACTGAAAAGTCTCGAGTTTGAACTCTCGGGCAGATGACGCTCGTTAGCTGGGGACAGCCACTCTTCTAAGAGAGACAACTCCAAAATCAAACAACTGCTATTGAAGCAAATCCAAAGAGAAAAGCAGGCTGAAATCGGAGTCAATTACCTCAATGGCGCATAACCAGTTGCCACGTATACTTAATTGTGTTGGAGGAAATCCCTTCCAACACTAAAATTAAGAACGAAGAAGAAGAATGTCCCTAAGTGACTGACGGAAAAAAATAAATCTACATGAAGCTTTATTTTGATATAAACATTTTTACTAAAACCATATCGTTTTTAACATAATTAAGATAAGACAAATGTTTAAAAATGTGTCCTATCTTAAGTTCTATCTGATAAAAATTTCCTTGATTGAAATTTTCAATCTAGTAATTAGATTGCCATTGTCAATCAACTTTAAGTTGACCATGTCATTCTAATTACTTAATTTATCATCTTTTGTTTCAATGACAGCTAGTTTTTTTTTTCTAAACTGCTAACGTTTGATTGACCTGTTATGTATGGTTGTATGGTGGTCTACCAGCACTGGCTAGTTTTTGACTGACCTGTTATGTATGGTTGTATGTGATCTACCAGCACTGGCTAGTTTTTTAATGACCTGTAGTGTATGGTTGTATGTGGTCCACTAGCACAACAACATCGCCTACGTACCTCAAGAGGCCTGGATACAGAATGCCACCTTACGTAACAACATCCTGTTTGCTACTGAGCTCAAATCCTCCCTGTACGAAAAGGTCATTGACGCATGCGCTTTAAGGTCAGACCTGGAGATTCTACCAGGTGGGGACATGACGGAGATTGGTGAAAAGGTGAGCGGTGGTGGTGATGTGGTGGTGTGGTGGTGATGTGGTGGTGGTGTGGTGGGGATGTGGTGGTGGTGTGGTGGTGGAGTGGTGGGGATGTGGTGGTGGTGATGTGGTGGGGGAGTGGTGGTGGTGATGTGGTGGGGATGTAGTGGTGGTGTGGTGGTGATGTGGTGGTGGTGTGGTGGGGGAGTGGTGGTGGTGATGTGGTGGGGATGTAGTGGTGGTGTGGTGGTGATGTGGTGGTGTGGTGGCGGTGTGGTGGTGATGTGGTGGGGACATGACGGAGATTGGTGAAAAGGTGAGCGGTGGTGATAAGGTGGTCATGTGGTGGTGGTGTGGTGGTGGTGTGGTGATGTGGTGGGGATGTGGTTGTGATGTGGTGGTGTGGTGGTGTTGTGGTGGTCATAATTTATTATTATCTTAAATAAATGAGAACATCTTTTAAATGTACTATCTTTCTTGAAATCTAATGAATATATTAAAAATGTCAATTGTTAAAATCATATAAATCAAACATTGAAAAGCAATGATTTTAGACAGTAGATTATATTATCCCATTAGTAGTCTGCCTTACAGCTAGTCCACACAGTCTAACATCCTTTGTAACATGTCTGTACTGCCCTCCCCCAGGGTATCAACATCTCCGGGGGTCAGAAGCAGCGGGTGTCCCTGGCCCGGGCAGTCTACAGCCGCTCAGACATCTACTTGCTGGATGACCCACTTAGCGCCGTGGACAGTCACGTGGGCAAGCACATCTTCCAGGAGGTCATCGGCAACAAGGGCATGCTCAAGGGCAAGGTCGGTCTATAGTTAGAGCTCCGTTGGTTTAGACTTTAGACAGATGGTTAACTTAATCCTTTCACTGGTTAACTAAATGTACCCAAGCTACAAATAATAAGCAATGTGATCTCCGTTGATTTAGAGGGCAGGTTAACTAAATGCTTGCAAGCTACAAATTATCACAATTCTTGTAATAAAATATTTTTGACGTATTTTTATTAGCAGCTTCGATAAACTATTTGTCATTATTTTATTTTTAATTTGTTTTTGTAAATACAGCGATTTTATTTTCATTACTATTTTTCTTATGTTATTATAATTTTTTATTTTTAACTTAAATAACCAATTTGCCATTATTAATGTATGTTTGTTGTGCCAGCATATAGCAATATGTTACTTAACTGTCTTATTCTAGCAGTTTGGTTAGGACTAAAATCTCTCTAAGTTTCTACTTAATTTGCATTCAACGTGTTTTTATTTTTTATAAAACTGAGTATTTTATCATGTGAAGCTTCTATTTGAAAGTGTCTTGGCAATGTTAATTTGTATTGTGTTGTTAGGGTGTTTGTCATCCATGGTGTCTAGTGGTGTCCTAATGTTGATGGTGTTATTTTGTTAGACCAGGGTGTTGGTGACCCATGGTGTCCACTGGCTGCCCATGGTAGACACCATCCTAGTGCTGAAGAATGGGGTGGTGTCTGAGATGGGCACGTACGAGCAGCTGGTGTCACATGATGGGGAGTTCGCCCAGTTCCTGAAGGAATATTTTATCCAGGAGGCTGATGCTGTGTCGGATGGTGAGGTGGATGTCGTTGAGGACCCAGAGAGTAAGTGTCATATGTCATTTGTCATATGTCATGCGTCATGTGTCATGTGTTATGTGTTATGTGTCCTGTGTCCTGTGTCATGAGTCATGAGTTATGTGTCATGTGTTATGTGTCATGTGTTTTGTGTCATGTGTCATGTGTTTTGTGTCATGTGTCATGCGTCTGGTGTCAGGTGTCACTTGTCATGTGTCATTTGTCATGTGTCATTTGACATGTCATATATCTTATATTATGGATTTCGATCTTATCCTATACTTGTGATGTAAACGTCATTTATACTAGTATCAACTTTCTATATTACATTAACTCGACTTGAATTTGGAAATAGATTCCTTGGTAAAATAATTTACACCTTACATATTTCAATGTCCACCTGTGCTAATACAATATCCACCTGTCTACCTGTAGTTGAGGAGATGAAGAAGCAAGTCTTGACCAGGCTGGAATCCATCACAGGTGTGTCATCAAACGACGAGGCTGGCAGGTAAGTCTGGTACAGTCTGGTACAGTCTGGTACAGTCTGGCACAGTCTGACACAGTCTGACACAGTCTGGCACAGTCTGGCACAGTCTGGCACAGTCTGGCACAGTCTGACACAGTCTGGCACAGTCTGACACAGTCTGGTACAGTCTGGTACAGTCTGGTACAGTCTGGCAAGTCTAGTACAGTCTGACACAGTCTGGCACAGTCTGGCACAGTCTGGGGTTGTTTTGTTTTGTGCACACCAGCAGCCTACAATCTAAAATACACTACATAACACGTGATGATAGCGGGTATGTAAACACTGTGCTAATCACCCTTTGTGTATGCATTAAATCTATTCTGTATGGTATAGGGATGCCTGCTAAAGTCTGAAAATAAATGGAATCATCAGCACATTTAAAAAGAAAAAAATAGTTTTAAGTGTTGGTTGTCTGTGCAGATCTCTGGACAAACAGTCGTACAGAAGAAAGCTGTCACTGACAGTGTCAGCACGGCGGGACAGCTGGACTGGGTCAGTCAGTCTGACGTCATCACACAGGCAGGAGGCTCTGACGTCATCACACAAGCAGGAGCGGTCAATGAGCCAATCAATTGTCAGCAGGAGGGGCCGTGGTGGGGGAAGGGGGGAGAGGGGCCCACATGGAGGAGAGAGGGGCCCACCGGGAGAGACAGGGAAGAAAGAGGGTGAGGAGAAGGGAGGGTTTGTTAGAGGTCAAAGGTTGGTGCTGGCAGAGACGGCAGAGACAGGTGGGGTGAGTCAACAGCAATTTTCTTTTTTGTTAACCAGAGATTATGTACAACTAGTTTTAGATCAACTTCAAACTTTATTTATCAAAATAGCAATATAAACATAAAGTGATATTTCAACGCCAAGGGTAGACAAAGGTACAGAATATAGTCCAAGTAAAGACAGAACAGACAGACCCGACGGGTTCCGAACCTACCATTCCACACGGCACCAAATCGCCTCGCCTTCCATGCATCAAGTCAGACGTGTAACCACGGGTCTGGCTGTTCTGTCTTTACTTGGACTAAATTCTGTACCTCTGTCTACCCTTGGCGTTAAAATATAACTTTATGTTTATATTGCTATTTCAGTTACAACGCCTGCTTCCACTCCTCACCAACTTTATTTATCTAATGCAAGATTTCTTTACAACACAAACTAGATTCTAATTTGTAATTAAATTATTTTAAGGCAGATGAATTAGAGTATACATCTTTCTGTATCCTCAGCATATAAGGGGATTGTGTGATCAGCACCGTGCAAATCCAACTTTAATCCTCTCCCCCCCCCCTGTTATAGTCTCGTATCAAACACAGCAGGAATCCCGCGTGTCTGTGCGAGAGTGCCTAGTCTCTAGCCTGTGAATTGAACTCAAGACTTTTGGGTTAGCAATCGTGTGCTCTACCACCCAGTCGCAAGGTCCCAAAAAATTGTTCAAAACTTGTCATTTCATGTCAGAATATTGAACAACAGTTCCCATTTCATAGAACTATCAATTGTATAGTTGAGTGAAGTTGATTTTCCTACAACTATCAATTGTATAGCTGAGCGAAGTTGATTTTCCTACAACTATCAAATGTATAGTTTAGTGAAGTTGATTTTCCTACAACTATCAATTGTATAGCAGAGTGAAGTTAATTTTCCTACAACTATCAATTGTATAGTTTAGTGAAGTTGATTTTCCTACAACTATCAATTGTATAGCTGAGTGAAGTTGATTTTCCTACAACTATCAATTGTATAGTTTAGTGAAGTTGATTTTCCTACAACTATCAAATGTATAGCTGAGTGAAGTTGATTTTGCTACAACTATCAATTGTATAGCTGAGTGAAGTTGATCGATCATAAACTGCTGGTCTATGTGTGAACTTACCTGTGCAGGTGAAGTTGATAGATCATAAACTGCTGGTCTATGTGTGAACTTACCTGTGCAGGTGAAGTTGATCGATCATAAACTGCTGGTCTATGTGTGAACTTACCTGTGCAGGTGAAGTTGATAGATCATAAACTGCTGGTCTATGTGTGAACTTACCTGTGCAGGTGAAGTTGATAGATCATAAACTGCTGGTCTATGTGTGAACTTACCTGTGCAGGTGAAGTTGATAGATCATAAACTGCTGGTCTATGTGTGAACTTACCTGTGCAGGTGAAGTTGATAGATCATAAACTGCTGGTCTATGTGTGAACTTACCTGTGCAGGTGAAGTTGATCGATCATAAACTGCTGGTCTATGTGTGAACTTACCTGTGCAGGTGAAGTTGATAGATCATAAACTGCTGGTCTATGTGTGAACTTACCTGTGCAGGTGAAGATGAAAGTGTACCTGGACTACATCCGGTCCGTTGGTTCCTACTCCACCATCTTCAGCTTCCTGTGTTACCTGGTCTACATGGGCAGCAACATTTTTTCTGGCATCTGGCTCAGCCAATGGACGGACGACACGTACCTGGCCAACAGATCGCTCAGCAACACCACCGAGTACACGGACAGGACGAACTTGTACATTGGGCTGTACGGCGGGCTCGGGGTCATACAAGGTCAGTCAGGGTCAAGGTCAATTCGTGTACGTCAAGGTCATTATATTAGTGATATAAATTGTCAGTCAGGGTCAAGGTCGATTCGTGTACGTCAAGGTCATTATATTAGTGATATAAATTGTCAGTCAGGGTCAAGGTCGATTTGTGTAATTCAAGGTCATTATAATAGTGTTATACAGGTTCAAGTAGGGTCATGGTCATTGTGTGTTAGACAAGGTCATTTTATTGAGTTGTAAAAATTCAATGAAGTGAAGTAATGTTTCAGTATGGTGTTCTATTGATGTGACTCACTGATGTGTAACGACCTTGACCTATGTTGCAGGTGTGTTCATCTACACGTTCTCCTCCTCCTTGCTGGTCAAGACAGTGGTGGCCTCAAACGTGCTGCACAACTCTATGATGCACAACATCATGCGATCACCCATGTCCTTCTTTGATACAACACCTACTGGTGAGTACACGTTATGTGTGTAGTGTGTCATTAGAAACTACAGCCACTGGTCAGTTAACATTGTGTGTAGTGTGTTATTAGATACTACCGCCACTGGTCAATGCACGTGTTGTATGTAGTGTGTGAGGTGTCTTTATGTGTACCATGTACTGGTCAACGTTTGTTATGTCTTATGTAGCTGTAATATATTAAATACACAGTGCACTGGTCAGTCTACATTATATGTGTTACACATTTTTGAAGTAAACTTCGAGGTATGTCGTGTTATGGTTATTCAATGTGAAAGAGGAACAGGAAAATAGTTACATCACTTCAACATGCAACGAGATGTCATTTCTTGAAGGCCTTACTCAGGTCGAAGTGTCACACATTTCTCTCTGCCCAGCTGCCAACCATTTCTCTCTGCCCAGGTCGTATCGTCAACCGTTTCTCTCTGCCCATGTCGTATCGTCAACCGTTTCTCTCTGCCCTCTGCCAACCATTTCTCTCTGCCCAGCTGCCAACCATTTCTCTCTGCCCAGGTCGTATCGTCAACCGTTTCTCTCTGCCCTGTGTCAAACATTTCTCTCTGCCCAGGTCGTATCGTCAACCATTTCTCTCTGCCCAGGTCGTATCGTCAACCGTTTCTCTCTGCCCAGCTGCCAACCATTTCTCTCTGCCCAGGTCGTATCGTGAACCGTTTCTCTCTGCCCAGCTGCCAACCATTTCTCTCTGCCCAGGTCGTATCGTCAACCATTTCTCTCTGCCCAGGTCGTATCGTCAACCGTTTCTCTCTGCCCAGCTGCCAACCATTTCTCTCTGCCCAGGTCGTATCGTCAACCGTTTCTCTAAAGACGTGGACGTCCTGGACAACATGCTGCCCAACGTCCTACGTCAGAGTGTCCACAGTATGGGCCGGATGTTGATCTCACTCATCCAGATCTCCTACAGCACACCCATAGTCCTGTGTGTCATCGTGCCAGTCGTCGTACTCTATGTTCTCATGCAGGTCAGTCAACTTTGACCTCCTCACCTTTGACCTCCTCACCTTTGACCTCCTCACCTTTGACCTCCTCACATTTGACCTCCTCACCTTTGACCTCCTCGCATTTGACCTCCTCACCTTTGACCTCCTCACCTTTGACCTGACATAGACACCAGCAGTTATTGTTTGTAGCTTTGTTTCTTAAAATTTAATTTTAAAATTCTTTTAACCATGTGCTATTTAAAGTGCTCATTGATAAAATTAACGACACGCCCCAGTTTTAGACTACTCTGATCCCCTCTACCCCCACATGACATAGACCCAATAATTTTTTTTTACCAGCCCCGAACCAGAGCCTAAACAAATTAGCCAGTATCAGTACTCCTAATATGGCAAAATGTTCAAGTTCATTTTTGGACACTTTTTTCTTTTATTGTAATATTTGACGTAATGTCCTCAAACAGAATAAAAGATAAACATTAGACATGCCTTTACCCATCTTTTGTATGAATTATTTAAATTTAATGTAGCTGCTTCCAACCTACTCTTATTAAACCTGTAATTATTTCATTGTTTAACTCTGTTCAGTCATATTAATTAAATCTATCTAATTAAGCCCACGTTAATTATGTAACCCCCTCCCCCAGAGAGTCTACATCCCAGCCTCCCGTCAGATCCGCCGTATCGACTCCACCACCAAGTCCCCCATCTACGTCCACTTCTCCGAGACCCTGAGCGGTGTGTCCAGTATACGGGCGTACGGCGCACAGGACAGGTTCAACCAGCACTCGATGGATCTAGTGGACCACAACCTCAAGTTCTACTTCAGTAGCATTGTGGCTACCAGGTGAGATGCTGTGGCTACCAGGTGAGGTGGTGTGGCTACCAGGTGAGGTAGTGTGGCTACCAGGTGAGGTAGTGTGGCTACCAGGTGAGGTGGTGTGGCTACCAGGTGAGGTGGTGTGGCTACCAGGTGAGGTGGTGTGGCTACCAGGTGAGGTGGTGTGGCTACCAGGTGAGGTGGTGTGGCTACCAGGTGAGATGGTGTGGCTACCAGGTGAGATGATGTAGCTACAGGGTGAGGTGGTGTGGCTACATTGTGGCTACCAGGTGAGATGATGTAGCTACAGGGTGAGGTGGTGTGGCTACATTGTGGCTACCAGGTGAGATGGTGTGGCTACCAGGTGAGGTGGTGTGGCTACATTGTGGCTACCAGGTGAGATGGTGTGGCTACCAGGTGAGATGGTGTGGCTACCAGGTGAGATGATGTAGCTACAGGGTGAGGTGGTGTGGCTACATTGTGGCTACCAGGTGAGATGATGTAGCTACAGGGTGAGGTGGTGTGGCTACATTGTGGCTACCAGGTGAGATGGTGTGGCTACCAGGTGAGGTGGTGTGGCTACATTGTGGCTACCAGGTGAGATGGTGTGGCTACCAGGTGAGATGGTGTGGCTACCAGGTGAGATGATGTAGCTACAGGGTGAGGTGGTGTGGCTACATTGTGGCTACCAGGTGAGATGATGTAGCTACAGGGTGAGGTGGTGTGGCTACATTGTGGCTACCAGGTGAGATGGTGTGGCTACCAGGTGAGGTGGTGTGGCTACATTGTGGCTACCAGGTGAGATGGTGTGGCTACCAGGTAAGGTGGTGTGGCTACATTGTGGCTACCAGGTGAGATGGTGTGGCTACCAGGTGAGGTGGTGTGGCTACATTGTGGCTACCAGGTGAGATGGTGTGGCTACCAGGTGAGGTGGTGTGGCTACATTGTGGCTACCTGGTGAGATGGTGGGGCTACCAGGTGAGATAGTGTGGCTACATTGTGGCTACCAGATGAGATGGTGTGGCTACATTGTGGCTACCAGGTGAGGTGGTGTGGCTACAGGGTGAGATGGTGTGGCTACCATGTTAGACATTGTTGCTACTTTTTTTTTTTTTTTTTTTTTTTTTTAAATATTTATTTCTTTAGTGCAGTACCAATTGAGCATCCAGATTATGCTTCAAATCGTTAACTATTTCTGTCATATGTGAAGGTACTTGTATCTGGGTGTCTCTGTGGCGTGTAACTACAAGTCCATCTGTGGGGGTACTTTCATTAACAACCACAGTGTAGGGGGTTCCAAGTTGATCATTTCTTTTAAAATGTGCATCGATTGTGCTTCCGTGATCAGATGCATTAAATAATGAAATAGACATTGTGCTTTTTTTTTTTTTAAATAGAAATTGTTGCTACCAATCAGCCTATGTTTAAGAAAGACTTTTATTAATCTCCATTGGGTAAAAACGAAGTTACTATAATTTGTTTCTCAGCTAAGATCCGATATTGTGTATCGGTAGGCCAGAGTATTTGTTTTATTAAAGAACAAATAAGGATTTTTAAAAAAATATTTTAGTATCATTTGTTAACAGGAATGAGTATTAAAAAAGTACGGTACTTATTAAATATCAAGCCTACTTTTGTTAAAGTTATTGATTTTTAATGTGTCTTTGAAGCTTTGTTTTTCTATCAAGAGTTACGGGTCCTATAGTATAGCCAGAGTTATGTGTCCTAGTTAAGTCCGCCAAGAGTTACTGGACTTTGTTCCCCTGAATGATGCAACAATTGTTTACCTCTCACCAGCTGGCTACAGATCCGCCTACAGTTTCTGGGCAACATCATCGTGCTGGCTGCAGCTATGTTCGCTCAGGCTGACACTGGTCTCAGCGCTGGTCTGGCTGGTCTAGCTGTCTCTTACGCCCAGCAGGTCAGTCATTATCTCCCCTGGTTTAATTAACCTCTCTACAGTCAAATTTAATCACCGGCAGGATTCTGACGTTCTTTTTAAGACATTTTAATACCTATATGTGAGCTTCACATTTCCTATAAGGCAATAATTTTTAAACCTAAAACAATTTGCGAGACAATGGCTCTATGATTACTACTTGATAAATAATAAATTTAATACAAATAATTTTACATTTGAGTTAAGAAAAAGTTTTAGCTAAGCCTTTATTTAATAAATAAAAAAATAAAAAATAAATGGTTAATAAATTTTCAATTATTTACAATTTAATGCGTTATCTTAGTTTTTATTTTGTTTTAATGTATCATTGTTTAAATATGTGTCGTACTTTAATTGTCAGGTGACCAATGCCCTGTCACAAGTCATCCAGGTGGCGACCCAAGCGGAGACAAACATCGTGTCAGCTGAGAGAATCTTGGAATACTCGGAGTTGAAAAATGAGGTGTGTAGCAAAATCGGAATATTTATCAAGGGAGGTAACAAGTGTTTCTGCAAAAATATAAAAATATTCATGGTTATCTACCTTGAACTATAAACTGCTCAGTTTGACTTCTTTTTAAAATTTAAGTTTATTTTATAGTACGAAAAAATGTTATAGTTTTTCTTACATACCTTGTGAATATTTCACTGCATTTTAATTGCCGATGCACTTCAATAAACATAATGTAGTTATTTCCCACGATATAAACAAAGTCACGTGGTAATGTTTTGACCAGGCACCCTGGAGCAACCCTGAGGTGAAACTACCTAAACCCTGGCCACAGGACGGTCAGGTCGACCTTGATGACCTTCAGATCAGGTACAGGGAGGGTCTGGAACTGGTCCTGAAAGGCATCACCTGTCAGCTGAAGGCTGGTGAGAAGGTGAGAGACTAGTGTTAGTGTGAGGATGAGAGAAAAGATTAGGGTGAGGGTGAGGATTAAAGTGAGGGAAAGATTAGGGTGAGGGTGAGGATTAAAGTGGGGGGAAAGATTAGGGTGAGGACGAGGGTTAAAGTGGGGGGAAAGGTGAGGGTGAGGGTGAGGATTAAAGTGAGGGAAAAGGTGAGGGTGAGGGTGAGGATTAAAGTGAGGGAAAAGGTGAGGGTGAGGGTGAGGATTAAAGTGAGGGAAAAGGTGAGGGTGAGGGTGAGGATTAAAGTGAGGGAAAAGGTGAGGGTGAGGGTGAGGATTAAAGTGAGGGAAAAGATTAGGGTGAGGGTGAGGACGAGGATTAAAGTGAAGGGTGTGGGTTGACATTTTTTTTTTTGGCTACTTTTGAACTAATAGTATTTACAGATGTAATAAGGCACTCGACTAATAAATAATGTAAAATACATTCTACTATAAAAGTATGCAGCTTACCAATATAAACAACATCTGATCAGAGTAAAAATGTACTTAAGTTTTCTATGAGTTGAGTTTTTCTTCTTGTTCAGGTCGGCATAGTGGGCAGGACAGGGGCGGGTAAATCTTCCCTCTCTGTGGCACTCTTCCGTCTGGTGGAGCCAGCAGCAGGTACACTGTCTATAGACCAGCAGAACATCTCACAGATTGGTCTACACGACCTGCGCAAGAACATCACCATCCTGCCGCAGGTACAGTGTTACATCACCTGTCACAGGTTTTATATCCCCTGCCACAGGTTTTATCTCACCTGTCACAGGTTTTATATAACATGTCACATTATAGCTTAAATTTACGTCAACATGTATAGTTATATACATGCCGCAGGTATAGTTTTACATCACCTGCCACAAGTACAGAGTTATATCACGCACAATACTTTGGTAGCGTTCAATGTAGACAACATCTGAATCTTTAATCCATATTTTTATTGTCTGCTGTGTTATTTTTCATCATTCGATAGGTAAATTAAAGGAAAGTCCTATGATAAAATAAATCGTCTACAAAAAAAGTAAAATGTTAGCCACACCAACTACACACACACACACACACACACTACTACACAATACCCAAACAACACCCACACACAACCCACACAACACCCACACACTACCCACATAACATCCACACAACAACCACACAACAACCACACAACACTCACACTCACCCACACACCACCCACACACCACCCACACAATACCCACACACCACCCACACACCACCTACACCCTTGTTACACTATACATAAAACCTTCTAACCCCTACCATCGCCCCACCCCCCACCATCGCCCCACCCCCAGGATCCTGTGATATTCTCGGGCACCCTGCGCATGAACCTTGACCCAGCCGAGCTGTTCACAGAGAACCAATTGTGGGAGGCCCTAGAACACGCCCACCTCAAGGACTTTGTCCTCACCCTGCCTGCAAAGCTGGACTACGAGTGTGGGGAGGGCGGGCAGAACCTCAGGTAGGTTGGTGGAGTGTGTGGGGTTTATGATGGTGTGTGGGCAGTACCTCTGTGTGGGGGTGTGTGGGGTATATGATGGTGTGTAGGCAGTACATCAGGTAGGTTGGTGGAGTGTGTGGGGGTGTGTGGGCAGTATGTCTGTGTGGGGGTGTGTGGGCAGTATGTCTGTGTGGGGGTGTGTGGGCAGTATGTCTGTGTGGGGGTGTGTGGGCAGTATGTCTGTGTGGGTGTGTGTGGGCAGTACGTCTGTGTGGGGGGGGTGTGGGCAGTACGTCTGTGTGGGGGTGTGTGGGCAGTACGTCTGTGTGGGGGTGTGTGGGCAGTATGTCTGTGTGTGGAAGGTGGCAGTAGCTCAGGTAGGTTGTTGCAATGTGCGGGGTGTATAATGGTGTGGGAAAATCCTCAGGTGTGCGGGGAGGATGGCTACCAGTATGTTGTTTGGCCATCCTGTTAGAGCTGTATATTTAAACTGATCTGTTCTGGTAATGGGGGGGGGGATGGGAGGTTGGGCACACCATTTGGTAAGCTATAGCTCTAAGCTTGGTGACAGTGCGACATTATGGCGCGCTTGTTTTGTTCCAGCATGGGCCAGCGTCAGCTGATCTGTCTGGCACGGTGCCTGCTGAGAAAGTCCAAGATCCTGGTGCTAGACGAGGCCACGGCTGCCGTTGACATGGAAACGGACGATCTCATCCAGAAGACCATCAGGTCAGAGTTCAAGGCCAGCACCGTCCTGACGATAGCCCACAGACTCAACACCATCATGGACTACGACAGGTACGGCAACATGTGGCGACGTCACTCCCAGATGTGGGAGGGAGGGTGGGGAGGGTCCTACGGCTGGGTCCTTCATGGCTCCAAGGTTGCTGACAGTACTCTATTATGGTTGGTGATGACAGTATACTATTTTCAGTGTCCTATTGGTTGGTTTCTATTGGCCTAATGTCTGTGTACCCATACAGTCAATCAATAGGTCCCCAGAGTGGTGAATGTTTTCATGGAGTTGCCTTAAGTTTAGTCGAGAAACTGTTGAGAATATCTTGAACAACAGAGACCTTTCATTTACACGCATCTGCCGTCCTTACATTATGTGTGTAGACTACAGTCAACCTAATCAGGTTGTTTACACATTGTGTATGTACACATTGTGTACAGTAAAACCTAACCCAGTTGTTTACACATTGCGTGTACACATTGTGTGTGTACACACTGTGTATGTACACATTGTGTACAGTAAAACCTAACCCTGTTCTTTACGTCCCCTAGGGTCATCGTGATGGACAGGGGGTTGATCAAAGAGATGGACACGCCCCAAGCCCTGCTCAGCAACCCCGAGTCAGCCTTCTACTCCATGGCAAAGGACGCCAATCTCGTCTAATGGGCGTGGCCAATCTGGTCGAGTGGGCGTGGTCACTGTGGTGTAATGGGCGTGGTCACAATGTGGTCGTGTCTTTGGCCCAACGTGTGGTCTATTGTTATTCTGCGCCCATTGCCACTATTACCAGAATCTGGATTACCGAATGCAGAGGTAGTCTGAAGTTATTTACATGACAAGAATGTTACTAAATTACTGTGTAATTTCTGAATAAAACTTACTTTACAACAAGAGAATGTACTTTCATTTATCGTCGTCTACCAGTTTTATATTATATCTCATCCCACCTCATCACCAACACCATCTCACCTTAGCAGCACCCCACAATGGCCCCCCACCCACCCAACCACCACCCAACCACCACCCCACCCCACTCTGTAACAGGGCTGATAAAAACCAGCTGCCTACTTCACTTTGCTGTCTGCTTCAACATTCTGGCGGGGGCATAATCGATTTGACACTGTCAATTTAGACACATAAATATATGACACTGTCAATTTAGACACATATATCTGACACTGTCAATTTAGACACATATATGTGACACTGTAAATTTAGACACATATATGTGACACTGTCAATTTAGACACATATATGTGACACTGTCAATTTAGACACATATATGTGACACTGTCAATTTAGACACATATATGTGACACTGTCAATTGAGACACATATATATGACACTGTCAATATAGACATATATAGTGACGCTGTCAATTTAGACACATATGTGACACTGTCAATTTAGACACATATATGTGACACTGTCAATTTAGACAAATATATGTGACACTGTCAATTTAGACTTATATGTGACACTGTCAATGTAGACATATATGTGACACCGTCAATGTAGACATATATAGTAACACTGTCTATGTAGACATATATGTGACACTGTCAAAGTAGACATATATGTGACACTGTCAATGTAGACATATATATGACACCGTCAATGTAGACATATATGTGACACTGTCAATGTAGACATATATGTGACACTGTCAATGTAGACATATATGTGACACTGTCAATGTAGACATATATGTGACACCGTCAATGTAGACATATATGTGACACTGTCAATGTAGACATATATGTGACACTGTCAATGTAGACATATATGTGACACTGTCAATGTAGACATATATGTGACACTGTCAATGTAGACATATATGTGACACTGTCAATGTAGACATATATAGTGACACTGTCTATGTACACCTGCCACGTGACACGGCGAATTCTATACCCCCCCCCTCCCCATCTACCCTTAATTTCAAGCTGCAAGACATAGACTATTTCCACGGGCTCCTAAGAAGGGCCAAATCCCGGGTCCCCACCACTGACTCCTATCAAGGACCCCACCGTGGGCCAACACCGGGGGCTGCTAGTGTGGCCCTACACGCAGGCAGTCACTACCCACTCACCCAACACGCCACGCCTGTTTCCTTACACTTACACTTACACGGACATTTGAGTCGAAAGTCGTTTTGGTCACCGTGTTTATTTTAGTCCGTTATTCATTTAAAAAAAACATAATTGTCTGAGCGAGCTAATGTTGAGGTCACGTGACATTGGCTGAAACTTCCCCACGACCCAGTGAACTAGATTAACGTGAGTACTGAGGTACACACGCACACCCACAAATAGCTCACCGCTTGGTGTGACATCATCTGGTTGAGCTACTGCTTCATTAGGGTCACTTTACACCATCAGCTTCGTTGTCTTCCCACATCTGTGTCAAAGTTCAAGGTCAATGAGATACTTGTTTGCTCCAAACCGGAAGTTGACCCAAAATTAACAACAGGTTAAGTGTCTTAAAAGAGGACTTTTGTCCTAAGTTATTTTTTTTTCTGTAACTGTTCGCAGTTCTTTCAATTATTTTTTCAAACTTTTGTATCTTCCTCACCCACTGAACCAGCGACTCGCTGAATGGTGCGCCCTGTGGCACGCAAGTTTGGAGCGCCAATTTGTCTCGCTTGGTCGTCTGCTGCACCTGCCTGAAGAACCCAATAGCAGACGACACCCAGCTGCGCCAGCAACCACCGGCACACAGCTGAGGCCGACAACAACAGCGTTTGTTTGACGTCTCGCTTCGTATTTTTTCAATTCACGAATTGTCCAAGTCGTCAGAAAAATGTCCAATTTAATTAGCATCACCCGTAGGTAGAAGTTCGAGCGTATAGATGGTTTCAAATTTCGGCAAATGATATGACCCCACCCTGAATTCTTCAACTCTTAACCGGCTTCTGCTTCCACATCTGCTGGCAGAGGTCGCGACCTTGTGGACAGCGCATGCGCGGTGTACTCTCGTCCCCGGAAGAATTTCTTTTTTTTACTTTCTCGTGTAGCGGGAAGTAAATCTTGTAAACAATCGAAATTGAGATTTTGACAAATATTGTCGTTTTACACCTTCCTGAGTCGGAAAAACCCTGTTTTGCAATCTTGTTTGTATGTTTATCTTTGTGTGTGTGAGTATGTGAACACGATAACCTGATTACCGTTTCAGTTATGTGGACTAAATTCCAAAATATAAACATTAGATCCTATATGTAGGCTTCTTTCAACTTCTGAGCTTTTTCCAATTGTGACGTGGCCTAGATGTTCATAGCGAAAGCGTGTAGGCACGGAGAGATTGGGTGTGAGAGTGGCCTCCCCTAACAAGTGTGTGGTATCGTCAACTTAGGGTAGCATGTAGTCAGTGTTTTCGTGAATGTTCACTGTTTCTCTGTTGTATTTGGAAAATTATATTGGATTATTACATTTGAACTGTGTTTTAAATTGTGTTATACCTTGTTCCACTATGAAATGGAAAGCTAACCATAACAAGTGAGGGCTTAAGTCCGGGATTTGAACACAACAAGATTTTTGAGAAGTTTTACCCCTAGACAAAAAGGAAAATATCCAGTATCAACAGCAGCGTTAGAGCCGACATGAAAATATCGAATGTCAACAGCAGCGTCACAACCGACTTGAAAATGTCTAGTATCAACAGCAGCGTCACAACCGACTAGAAACTTTCTAGTATTAACGGCATCGTTACAGCCGACTAGAAAACATCTAGTATTAACGGCATCGTTACAGCCGACTGGAAAGTGTCTAGTATTAACGGCAGCAGTCATCGCCGACGTGAAAAGACTTCGTATCAACAGCCACAAAACTTGTGAACAGTGCTGCAGACATCATGGCCATAAATAATGACATTAAAAATACAGTGATAAAGCTAGGAGAGAAGTTGAGAGAACTTGCTAGCTACAAAGTGGACTACATTAGCATAGCAAGTAAGTTATCAAATTTTAGAGCTACAATATTAGCATCTCAGTCCTTGAGCACATCAGAAGCAAATCATTGCGTCGCCACCAACATGAAAGCTCTAGCTACTGTCCCACTTGCAGAAGACCTAGTCAACCAGACACGCAATCTAGGCAACAAGTCAACAGAGTGGAGAACTAGGTCAAGGGCAGCTGAGCAGAAGGTAACTTTAATCCAGTATCAAGTTCATAGTCTTTTTAAAGATACTAATGAGACTTTAATTATAGTTAAAGACTGTGATGTCAAGATAGCAGGATCGAAACAAAAATGTTTGGACTCCAGAGCCAGAGCTGAGCAGAAGAGCCAGAGCCAACGCCAGAGCCAGTGCCAGAGCCAGTGCCAGAGCCAGTGCCAGAGCCAAAGTCAGAGCCAGAGCCCGTGCCAGAGCCCGTGCCAGAGCCCGTGCCAGAGCCAAAACCAGAGCCAGAGCCAAAACCAGAGCCAGAGCCAAAACCAGAGCCAGAACCAGAGCCGAAGCCAGAGCCGGAGCCAAAACCAGAGCCAAAGCCAAAACCAGAGCCAAAGCCAGAGCCAAAACCAAAGCCAGAGCGAGAGCCAAAGCCAGAGCGAGATCCAGATCGACATCCAGAGCCAAAGACTGTACCAAAATTAGAGTGGTGTACGAACTTGTATTATATGAATAGCTTCTAGTTTTCATTGTCATCATTGACTAGATTTATTTCAACATATCTCACTTCATAAAACGAAAGGGAAGTAACATTGTTCTGATGTATTGTAATTCAATTCAAATGCTTTATTGATGACAAATGTTTTTTTTAAAAAAAAAACCTTGTTGACTTAGAGACTAGACGTATAAAGCTATAAGTAGTTAATTCATGCGTACGTCCAACATTTTACTGTAGATATATAATTTTTACTCGCCATCATTTATTTATAGGGAGATTTAAAGCATGTAAAAGGTCAGATAAATATTTTGTTAAAATTTTTACTGTACATGTTAAGTAGTTGTGCAGGATAGACCTTAGAAATGCTGTTTAATTTAAAGAAAAATAAGAAACCTCTTTTTTTTAGGGGGGAGGTGTGACGTGGCCTAGATGTTCATAGCGAAAGCGTGTAGGCACGGAGAGATTGGGTGTGAGAGTGGCCTCCCCTAACAAGTGTGTGGTATCGTCAACTTAGGGTAGCATGTAGTCAGTGTTTTCGTGAATGTTCACTGTTTCTCTGTTGTATTTGGAAAATTATATTGGATTATTACATTTGAACTGTGTTTTAAATTGTGTTATACCTTGTTCCACTATGAAATGGAAAGCTAAGCATAACACCAATACCTGGAAGCGGTCCTCTATTGCAGGTTCTTCGATAACATTCACAATACGATATGGGTGGGGGTGGGTTTCTGATCACTGTCAAATGGTGGTTTAAATGTGTACGTTTCTTAAAAATCTAAATTATCATCCTATTTTGGGGAGAAAACCAAAACGACTACTGCGCTGTAGTCTGTTCTTGCATGGACAAAAGCTATGGAAGCAAATCCGGAAAGAAAAACTGGTTAAAGTCACGATCAGGTGGCAATGTTACGCATGACATGTTGACACGAAATGTTTTATTGAGCTCGGGGTAAATCCCGTCTAATATATTACAATTAAGAACAAAGACGAAGAAGGAAGGTGATGTTATATCATATTTTCTAAAGCAGCATATTATAAGAAGGTTTGACCTGGCTGTGTTTTCTCACAAATGTCCCTCCATCTGCTGTAGCCAGGGTCTACTAGACGTGTCATAATTACCTGACTAGTTGACACGATAATACGAGGACGTCCAGGGGAGATAACTAATGATTTGTTGGCTTGATCTAGTTTAGTTACATTTTAATTAGTTCAAGGGTTGTTTGAAGGCCAAGGTTGGGCGGACAACCTGACCGCGAGGTTGTTATAGAACACGTGACCGCCCCACTTGTCCAACCCGGATGGTGACGTCACCAGCTCATTGTTTCACGTGCGGACGTGAGAAAAGCTGCTCACTCATGACGGATGTGTCGTGACCCAGGGGTCGAAAGTGTGACCTTAGCGACCTGTGGCATGGTGGGCCCGCTGTAAGGAGTCTTTGTTAGCTTAGTCAATGAAGCTACTTATGTGTGACGCTACTTATGTATGACTCTACTTATTTATGACTCTACTTATGTGTGACTCTACTTATGTGTGACTCTACTTATGTATGACTCTACTTATATGTGACTCTACTTATGTGTGACTCTACTTATTTATGACTCTACCGTTGTGTGACTCTACTTATGTATGACGCTACTTATGTGTGACTCTACTTATGTGTGACTCTACCGTTGTGTGACTCGATCACCACACTACCACATCAGGCCATACGTCGACCGCAACACCTTCAACACCATAACACCCCAAACTCCTTCAACACCATAACACCTCAAACACCTCAACACCATAACACCACAAACACCTTCAACACCATAACACCCCAAACACCTTCAACATCATAACACCCCAAACACCTTCAACATCATAACACCCCAAACACCTCAACACCATAACACCCCAAACACCTCAACACCATAACACCCCAAACACCTTCAACACCATAACACCCCAAACACCTTCAACACCATAACACCCCAAACATCTTCAACACCATAACACCCCAAACATCTTCAACACCATAACATCCCAACATTAGAAAACTCACCAGAGAAACCCCAAAAAGACAAATGCCGGAACCATCCGGAACTGTCCGGCATTGTCCGGCTTCAAATAAAACCATCAACTTCTCTTCAGAAAACTTTCTCCTTTTTACTCTGACGACAATGTGTTCCGACCCTTAGGATTTAGTCATCTGTAGCATCTAGTCAATATGACCCCACCCCTTACCCATGGTGCATCTAGACAACATGACCCCTGACCCCTGAGTGACCCCACCGTCTCACCATCACGTGGAACCCTGACACAGCCCTGCCAGTGGTGACTCACCTGGTGACATCACCGCCCCGCCACCTTTATCCAAACATCTCGAGATAAATTTTCTCAATGGCCCGTCCTACCCGGCCTCAATGACTTCATCCACAGCCCCAGTGGCGTAACTAGGGGGTGCACTGGGAGGGGGTCGTCCTGGGAGATATATAGTTTTATATTCGATGGGTGATAATTATATATTATACTACTTATACATATATAGTCTTATATTTATACGTCATATATATATATATATATATATATATATATATATATATATATATATATATATATATATATATATATATATATATATATATATATATATATATATATATATATATATATATATATATGCGTGTATATAAATAATTAAGTGAAAATAAATCGAGACAGCAGAGCCGTTTGACAGCCCAGCCAAAGTGTCTCCGCCATTGCCTAGCAGATCTCTATCACCAAGTTTCTCTCACAGATCGTCCTACAACATACGGCAGTGACAAGTTTCCGACAAGTTTCCGACAAGTTTCCGACAAGTTTCCGACAAGTTTCCCGCCGGACCCAGGACGCATTCAGTGACCTTCAACGTCACGCCGCTGAGGGTCACAATACGTCACATTTTTTGGTCCCGTTTCGGTGCCTGATTTTATCTAGGCAGGTCCGACCTGTGGCCTAGTTGTACTGACGTCAATCTCTTTGATATCCGTTCCACCACGATGACAGCCCCCCCCCCCCCCCCCCCCACACACACACACTCCTAGTTGGCACTGGTCTATCTACCGCCATGGTTAACGTTTTGTTTACTTTATTTTTAGCGGAATCTATTTTGGTCAATTCTAAAGATTGCAAATAACTTTCTATTGTCTAACTGTGTCTATAAATATCAAGCCTGCGTCGGTCTGATATATCACAGTTCATTCCGTCTGTTATGGTTCTTTATTGTTTGTTTTTTTATTTCGTCATTCATCGCGTGCTTAGATAAAAATACTCAGCAAAAATCTGAACTTGGTTTGACTTGACGTAAATAATACTGGCAATTCAAAAAAAAAAGTGTAAAATAAACAAAACTAGTAAAAATGCGTTATTTTAAAAATGCGCTATAATTGTTGGTATAATCTGTTAAAAACTTGAAATAACTAGGCATAAAAAAATAAAAGTTTTAATCCAACCCGTGTATTTAAAGCGTGCTGTAATTATCGCGAGGTAAGAAATAAAAATGTTTGTTGCTCTGATCCCAACTATTGCTCATAAACAAACAAACATCACGTTTCCAATTTTCCCGCAAACTCCGGCGAAAATAGCAGGCGGCTGTTAAAATAGCGTTTTCGTGTTTATAGATAGCTTCTTTCAGCCGAGATCTGCAAATATTGAGTCTAATTTAGCACTGTGTCAAATAAACAAGGTTTAATCATCTACAAATGAATTCTAAATGCTGTAAATTTGTCGTGTTTTTTAAATTTTAAAATGGTAGGCTATGCTTAAAATAATGTTATACGGTCGTTATTCTCTTTACGCATGCGCCAACCAATGCTTTTAATGTAAGACGGCTTTTAACGTAAAATAAGTTTATGCAATGATTGCTGTAATTACTGCAGCTTTTCAATTGATTTTCTTTAATTAGTTAATTAGATTTTTAAATAAACGCAAATGTAATTACGGCTGCTTCGGCGCTGTCTTGCTGAGAACTCTACTCCCACTGTAATATATTAGCTTCTTTACAGTTAGGTCGGACCAGTAACTTTAATACTATAGCTGTTAACTCGCTTTTTGTATACCGATTACTTTTATACAATGTCAAATTTCTTCTGTTTTGTCATATATATAATTACTGTGTGTGTAGTTTTATTATTTACACTAAAAAAGAATATCCTTTTTGATAACCAGTTTAACCATTTTATGCACCATCGGTGTAATGATTATTTCTTTTGATCGAGATAACAAAAAGCAGAGCGTCTTTGACAAACATTGATAATCTGCAAACTGCAATCTTTTGTTGATAACTGTATGACTTACCTCCCCTTTATGAACTCGTCCATCGGTAACATACCTACTTTTACGTCAAGCAAAAGAAATAATTGTACTAGAAAATATTTGTGCTGACAGTTGAATTAATTTACCTAGATTCGTAAGCAGGAATCATGCAAGAGTCAACATTAGGTGTACATAGGAGTCAGGCATGGAGTCAACAAAAGTTAAGAGTCAGCACGTGTCTTATGCTGGAGTCAGTCACCATACATGTAACACGAGTCACGTGACTCATGTAGGACAGAAAGTAAAAAAAAAAATGACGTTTATTTCTGGAGCTTTTAGCACTCTAGCAAAGACGGTAAATTAAAAATGACGATTCTCTTTTTGTAAGATAAACAAAACAAACCGGTTCCGCTGTCATTGATTCAACTGAAATTAGAAAACTCCTCGTACAGGGTTAG